GGATAAGTTAAAATGGGCAAAGAATTGTAGTTTTGTAAGCTTTGGCAGCTGTCAGTACTTAAAACTTAGATTTTTTTCAATTTGAAAAAATTACATAAAATAAATTGTTGCTAGTATGGGGTTGCCATGGTGACAAACAAATAATAATATTGTATTATTTTGACAACTTACTTATTTCAAAATAAAGTTTTGGTTATTTTGACCATCGTCATCCTTCATTGCCAACTTTTATAAAACTGTATGATAATTTAGAAATTTATATTATAAAAATTTTAAAAAATATTATTTAATAAAAATTTAATGTTTCCATTTAAAAAAACTAAGTTTTTTTCATATGGCAAATATAAAAAGTGTTAAATAAATAATTGTATGCCATTATACTAATTATAAAAATTCCTAAAATTTTACTTATTTGTTTATTTATCATTTTTGCTACAATTAATATTTACGCAGCTTGACGCATTCTAAATATCTATTGACAGCTGTCAGAACTTCAAAAACTAAAAATTGTTTTGAGTAGTGTTTTCAAAATTGCAATTCTATACCCTTTTAATATACCCTAAAAAAGTCGCCCTTCATAAGCCTAAGTGACATGTGTCCAAAAGTGTCACCATGAGAATTAAAGCTCTTATTTTAAAATAAATAAAGAACAATAAAGATATTTTGTTCCTCAGTTTTTACAGCAAGAACAAAAAAAGATAAAATAGAACGTTGGAAAACAATTCGTCCAAAGACTGCTAGCTTAGGGCTGCAGAAGGTTTAGAATTACTGCCGAAATGTTTTTTTGCAAAACTTGAAAAAAGCAACGCATTGTGGAATTTCTCCAAATGTGTAAAAAATACAAATTCTTGGCCAACTTGTTAGAATCAATTTGTTACTTTCAAAATTGTACTTTTCTGAAATACTTTAGTCGATGGACATACATGATACCTACTGAAATACTAATAAACTAGTTAGAGATTATACTGAACATTTTTCTTGGATTAATTCATAGTTTCTTGCGCATGGAATTTGTACTTTTTACACGGCTACCTACTGTCAAAATAGATAACCAGGTGTGTATTTTTCAAAATCCAGAATAAATAAGACCGTACGAGAGTTAAGGACTCAAACAAAGTAATATATCATGTCGTAGGTCCTATCTATCCTATTCCGATAACGTAATTGTGTAATATGCGTTATCAGGATTTATTGATGAAACCGAAAATATCAAAAACACGCATTTAGAAAACGAGATAAAAAAAACAGCCCCTCACATTTGCTTTCCATTTTTATAAAAAAAAAACTCGAATCTAATGTAAACAAGAAACTTGACAGATGATGACAGTAGTAGGGGGCGAGTTTCCAAAACAAATTAAAATTAGAACGCATATAATAATTTTCTTAAAGCAATAGCATAAGTCGGTCGTTTTCTTTAAAGCCTGGTCTGCGTATTTTCAATTTTCTCAAAGAACGCCAGATCTAGTCAGATGAGATAACAAGAAACAGGTTTAGTGAATTTTCTAATCCTCATCCAGTTATTGCTCTTATTTAATATGGGTTTATTTACATAATACAGGCATAATTGTACCATAGATACACTGTCCAAAACAATCTGCACACCACAACCCCTGTAACATCGTAAATGTTATTGTTAAATAATCGATGTAGGCTAGAATGATTTTGTGCCGCTTTGGGAATACGTCGATTCGTTAATTTTGCACGATTTGCTGAGCATTTTGTGTAAATTAAAGTTAGGGGGGCAGATTTGTTTTCATGGAGTGTATGTTCGTAAACCTGGCCTTATTCTATTTCTCAGTCGATTAGAAAATAAGACAAAAAGTCACACGTTCCTGTGTGAAATATTTACGCACATCTCTGCCTATATGCATACAAATACAAATAGATATACAAAACGGCTGTGGGAATAACAAGAATTTTTCCCCACTTAACGATTTTTTGTACTTTCACTAAGCTCTGCATAATTTTTGTTTTTTCGAGTAGAAGTAATGATCGTGAACGAAGGCAAAATAAAACATACATTTCTGCTTTTTTTGTTCAAGCGAAGCTAAAAGATAATTTTCAGTACTTTCAGAGGTTATATTGACATCGCAAGCAAGGAGCGTCGAATAAATATTATGCTTTTAAGTATCAAATAAATCGGAATAATAATTATAGCCGTTTTGACCATGTCCTTTGTCAACAATCGAGAATAGATGCGATCGTTATATAAGCCAGACGAGACGGTGCAAACAGCAAAATACGTAAAATTAAATGACCCTGAATTGGACAGAATTGTTCAGTTAATGTATATAACATTGACCATCATAACTTTATAGTATAAATAACCTTGTCCACGATGGGTTTGAGCGTAGCGCCTTACTTTGGATAATACCCATATTCTTATTGAGGAATTCTTTTTTTTTTTCTTTATTGGAAGCTGTAGACATTTTTCAGAATTTTAAATTTGCGTAAACTAATACTAAATATAATAATAACATACTTCAGTAGACAACGATAATTAAAAATTAAAAATAATACATAAATATTTACAGGAATATATGGATAATTTATATAAATATATAAATAAAATAAATAATACAAAATATAAAATACAAATATGAAAATCTTATTTTTTTGTTCTTCTATATATACATATTTTTTCTAGTATTTAGCTCAGTTGTTTTTTATTCATTTATATTTATTAAGTGCTTAGAGGCTTACAGAAAGAATATATATTTTTGTTATTTTCCAATATTCCAAAATACCATATTGCAAACGTATCGGCCCTAATGCACGATCAAGTGTTAACATTTGCTGTTTATTTAAAATGTTTTTAAAATATTTGAATTTTTAAATCAGTGGCCGTGGGTTGTTTACTATTGCTTGTAAGTGTTTATTTCATTTTAATTGTGTGTGTGTGTGTGTGTTATTCCTTCGTATTTTATTTTATCTGTCGACTTTATCTAATAGTGTGCATTGTTCGTATATATAAAGCGTTATAAAAATAATATAAAAATGAACTGGATAAAGGAATACGAGTAAGCATTTGATATCGAAATTTATGTATTTTATTGATAACGTTAGTTTTATATTATAAATAAAGTAAATCGCACATCTACAAGCAAAAAAATAGAAAAATAAATCAGGCCACCTATGCTTTGTTTAGTACAAACCCACTGAATGCCTAATCAGTAAAAATCTACTTCTTGATATGTTGTAATGTATTTACATTGGACGTCTATTTGTAAACACGAATTAATGAATGAAGAAAATAGGTATGTGTTAAACGAATTCACTTCGTTAAAATTTTTTACACACGATCGGACTGATTTATATTTAATTATATGTATAGGGAATTCTATTATTTCCACCGCAAAAATCGGCTTCAATCATTTTCATTCCTCCCTGGGTAAATAAACGAATTTTGAAAATTAAAGATTTTTTTTTTTAAATAAATCAAGAGCGAAACAGAAAAGATTAAAAGGTTGAGATTTTTAATTTAAAATAATTCCAAAACTGACACGGCAACTGTCGCGTATAGAACATAGAATTTCAGTTTCAAGTATTTGAACTTTATTATTTTCAATTTTTTTTAACATCACAGAATTTAGAAACTTCCGCAAAAACAGAGCGATAGTTTATAAAATTTTCATGTAATCATTTTCGAATGATACAGTGCAAAAGAAAATGTGCAGAATGGTAGTAAATATAACTGGCAGACAAAGTAGAACATTTTTGTGGTTGAAAACGAACGTTATACTTGAAACGCCGTGTATATATGGACTATGCGTATAAATTAGTACGTCGAACCATTTTAATTGCATTTTATATGCGATAAGTCTATTTGTTTTGACGTAATAAAATATGCGCATGCGAGTCTAGCTTAACAACGCTTATTTCGATGAAAATTGAGTCTTTTCCGTTAAAGTGATGGCACATGTATTGTCCAGCCGCACACTATGCAATAATTGGGAATTCGATATATCTAACAACCAACCATCTCGATCTCCAGTTACGCATTGTAACAATATATACAGGGTTCAATAAATACAACCAAACAAAGCAAAAATGTTATAAACACAAAACAAATTGTAATTTCCTTAATACATATTAAAAAAATATTTCCCACTTCATAATTCAACTTAATTATCTTTCACTTTTTAATATTAAAATTTACAAATTTTTCAAAACGGCCCTCTCCCATTTTTAGAATTAAGTATTGTTTTTTGTGCCCTAACATCAAAAGAGCTTGGTTATTACTAAGTGCCCCATTATGCAAAATTGTAGTATTTCATGTGGGGTGCATATGAACACAATTAATAAATCGTGTTCACAAAAATATATAAATTCATAATGAAACGTGTCCAAGCTCCAATATACTGTAAATAAATAATAATTTTGAAATTTTATGATCATTATAACACTAAACATCATGAAGTAATTTTTTAATTTATTTCGAAAAATTGTCTGTCTATTGTCCATCAAACATTTATAAAGTCTTTAGTGTACTGTACTAATTAAAATTAGTTTAAATGAAGTTTCTTGATGTTTGGGCAACCAAAACACAAGCATTAGTTGTTTTTGGATGGGATAGACTCTACTTTAGAAATTAAACATATTTTTAAATATGAGAAAAAAATTGGTTCTGAAGTGACAAGATGAAAATTAAATGTATCCGTTGTCGGTACAAAATGATTATAAATGTCCGTCGCAGGGACAGTGAGGGGTGTTTTAAGTTAATATCCTTCCAATATATCTATAAGCGATAAAACTCGTCGAATAAGGAAATAATAATCGTAAACAAACAAGCAGTTAAGTAGCATCGAAACGTGTGCGACATTTAGTCTGGCGGGGATTGAATAGAACATAAGGCCGCCACCAATTACAACCCCTTGGTGGGGAACAGTGCGTTTTCTATTGGTCCGACGGTACGTGGGTACCATCTCTCACTCGGACAGTCATAAAGAGGGTAGAGGATAGTACGCTACCATCAGTGTCAAGTTGAAGACGAACACAACACGTACACCTACGAGACAGTGCTTTCCTTTGAAACTATGATCGCGATTTTTTTATTTATCATTGTGGTGGTGCTGGCCGGAGTGAATTTGTTGACTCCGAAAAAATATAAAAAATCGAATAATATACCAGGTCCCGAACCTTGGCCTATTATCGGAAGTTTGCATTTGCTGGGAAAACACAAAACCCCCTTCGAAGCTTTCACGGCATTGAGCAAAATCTACGGGGACATATTCAGCATCACTCTCGGATCAACCCAATGTGTCGTTGTGAATAATTTCAATCTAATCAAAGAAGTATTAATCAACAAAGGGGCCGATTTTGGCGGAAGGCCCGATTTTCTTCGATTTCACAAATTGTTCGGCGGAGATAGAAACAATTGTAAGTTCGATTTGATTATTTTGCGTCCTTAATGAATTATTACTTGTATCTTTTGCCCAATTAAATGGTTGATGTTGATGGTTGTTATTGACATTAGTTAAATGCCGAATTTAATGTCCTATTTTTACAAATTTGCGAAATTAGTTTATTACATTATTGATTTAATAGAAGATTCCATAAGAAACAATACCTACTTTCCCTAAAAATCATCCTTGATTTCAACTTCCTTCTTGGCAAATAATGAAAAAAGAAGATATTTGTATTTGATAGTTATTATGTATTTTCTGTTTTGAAATTCATCATATCAAGTCCCATTTGGTTACGGAGAGAGAAATTAAATAACTACTTCTATAAATTAAATTTAAAAACAGACTTTTCAAAATTCAAATGAAAACAAAAAAAAGTACCTTTAAATTTGATATCGATGGCTCGAAAAATTAAGCTTAAACTAACATATACTAAAACGCAAAACTTTTACCAATTTCCTATTATAAAATGTCCACAAAAAATTGCCTTAATTTACAATGAAAAATGTCCGTAAACGCAGTACCCGAGTTCATGTTTTAATTCATAAGATTACTTCATCTCACATTATTCTCTGACTTGTCTACCATGAACTTGAACTCTAAATTTCTAACGAAACTGAATCTGTTCGGCAATCGCTAGTGTAATTTTTATTTTAATATATTCATTTCACTAAACTGTCACTTTTTCGGTTTCTGGTTTGCGATTAGCAAAACGATTCATGTATTTTTATTCGACCAAGTAGAGTTCGATGAACTGATCAACGATGGTTATTTGCTTCGGTCTTAAAACAACGTTTTAATTCAAAATATGGTAAATTAAATGCCAATAATATTCTAACAGGTCCTTATAACGGTAGCGTAATTTTGTATGAATTTTCGTTTGTTTCAGCACTGGCCTTGTGTGATTGGTCGGTCCTTCAAAAAACCAGAAGAAGTATCGCTCGTATGTATTGCTCGCCTAGATTTACCTCGCTACAGTACGATTCGGTAAATGTCGTGGGCTGTCAAGAACTTAAAGTTTTCCTGTCGGAGCTACAAAAACTACCTATCGAACAACCGTGCGATATCAAACCGATTGTATTGGGAGCTTGCGCTAACATGTTCACCCAATATATGTGTTCGACGAACTTCCCGTACGAAGACAAAGAATTCCAGAGGATAGTACGTTATTTCGACGAAATATTCTGGGAGATCAACCAGGGCTACGCTATTGATTTTTTGCCTTGGTTACTTCCCATGTACAACCAACACATGAAGAAATTATCGTATTGGGCTGGAGAGATTAGGGAGTTCATTTTAGCGAGGATCGTTAAAGACCATATGGCCAGTCTGGACTACCACGCCCCTCCCAGGGACTTCACTGACGCGCTGTTAATCCATTTAGAGGAAGATCCAAATATGGAGTGGAATCACATTATATTCGAGCTAGAAGACTTCATCGGCGGCCACTCAGCGGTCGGGAACTTGGTAATGATAGCGTTAGCTTACATAATTCAAAACCCGGAAGTCGCTAAGCGTATTCGAGAAGAAGTCGACGAAGTCACCGACGGTCAAAGATTCGTCAATTTGTTTGACAAAGCAGCAATGCCTTACACCGAAGCGGTACTATGGGAAACTTTGAGAAAAGCATCTTCCCCAATAGTTCCCCACGTCGCTTCAACCAACACAAACATCGAAGGATTTCAAGTAAAACGAGGAACGATGGTTTTTCTTAATAACTACGAGCTCAACCTGAGTGGAGAATATTGGGAAAAGCCGGACCAGTTTATGCCAGAGCGATTCTTATCACCGGCCGGGCACGTTGTTAAACCGGCGCATTTCATCCCTTTCAGCACCGGCAAACGGACCTGTATCGGCCAAAGGTTGGTACAGTGTTTTAGTTTCGTTATATTGGCTACATTGTTTCAACACTACAACGTGAACGTCGCTGGCAAAATAGACATTAAACCCAGTTGCTTGGCGGTACCGCCAGATTGCTTTAAGCTTATACTCACACCTCGATTTTCGAAGCATAAATGAACGGCACTTAAAGCAATGAAACTTCATAAGACTAATTGAGACTGGAGCTGATGAAGCTATATTTTAACTAGATTAAGTTTATTGTTGTCGAATATTGGGACGGAGCTTGCTACACTGACCGTAGCCAATGTTATGATGCATCACCTGTTTCGACATTGTATATACGAATGCAGTGGGACTGGAACCGATATTCCCGGCATCTTGTGGACACTTTGAATTACAGACTTGGAAATAATGGTAATTGTGACGAAGTCAATATTAGAAATAGTCGAATTATATATAAAAGCGTCTTCGTAATTTTCAACACGCTGTATATATTTCAACTCTGTTCTAATCGTTACTTTCACGCAATGTACGTTGAATAATCATTTTTTGTTTCCTGTTAAGTACAAATTAATTTTAAACATTTTTAAGTTTGTAATTTGAATTTTTTTTAGTAGAAAAACTAGTATTTTATATTATTGGATGACTTCATATTTTGCGTGTGTTGTGTTGTTGCAAAGATAATATGTTTTAATTATTTATCTTTTAAATATAGTCTCTTTTTGTTAGGTTTTATAATGAGACTGAATAAATTTTGTGTATTTTTATTTAAACCGGTGGGGAGTTTTATTTCCGAAACCCAATACAGAAGTGCTCGCACATTTTCTTTTAAAAATAGACAAGGTAATATCGATAGTAATTCACGGTTGCACAAAACATTCCGATCTAACCAAAACGAAACTAACCAAAAAGTTTCATTTTTGCTCAGCATTCATGATTCACCCTGTATACTTATTAACCAAAATAAATTTGCCATTAACTGATCCAGCATAGTAATTATTGTTGCAGTATTTATGCAATGTAAGCAATTTACAACGAATTGTCTATAGAAAATTAATGCCGATACGAACCTAATTCGAACTGGTAACCATATACTAAAAATCTACTAAAGCTGTCTGGAACATTTCAATGTCAACGTTATCGTCAATTATTATGAATTATTGTAAAACACGTGCCAAATCTCGTACAATATTTACACGTAATTTATATTTTCTATTTACAAAATACTCACGAATTTCTATCATGGGATCGTATTCTGTCGCTTTTCGCTCTAGATAAATATCGTAAAAGCGCAGAGATTTGCAAATTGCCGATGTTTACTTTCATTTTCGCCATTTTCTTATTTTGTAGCACGTAGTCGAATGTCTCCTTTCGAGATCAAATATTTTTCGTCTATATATTTGACAGTATTTGTGTTCTTACATGAAAACATAAATGCATTTAAACAAAAAAATAATAACAAAAAAAAAACAATGCCGCTTGAATTTCATATTTTATTATACATGCTAGTATTGCAAATTGAAATTTTTTTGCAATTTTTTTTATGTTATCAAGAATAATTCAATATCTTTGATATCTTGAATTTGAAAATATATGTATTGAATAGTTTAACAAAAAACTCTTCAATTGTAAAAATTTCTATTTATAGAAACAATTAATTAATATAATGCTGCAGTATCATTAAAAAAAAATCAAACAAAATGTTTCAGTTAATTTGATTAGTTTAGAAACTTTTGGCACTACTTACTATCTTTTTCGAATTGCAAATATTTTACATAAAATTCCGTTTGTTGCACTTTTAGTTTTTTTTCCAGTTTATTCATAACCCAATAGATATATTGCATTCAAAAATGCAAATTTTTAACACGTGTAATGAATAAATAGCAAATATCTTGAAATCGACACAAACATAGGCAAACTTTTATATCTCTTACCGTTTTTGTAAAGAAAATAAGGAAATAGTGAATAATTAACAGCAACCATTTATAGCATAAAATGAACTACAAAAAAATCAACTCCTATAACAAATGTTTAGGCTATGTTATATGCTATAATAAAAAAACAATAAAGAAGCTACCAATAGTGTCGACTTAAGGCTATATATGTTTGGAGAAACTTGCTGACGTTTCGCCAATCATTCTGTTGGTTTCTTCAGAGCTTATCTGAAACTTAACAGTTCCTTCTTAAAAAACAGTTTCTTTCTAAAAAATTAAATTACTTACATACACATGTACATACTTTATTCAGTTAAATAAGTACAGGAGTTAAGTAATACTTTACTTACTTTATGTTCAAAATGAATAAAAACATGTTGTGTTATGTATGAAACGATTTTTCCAAAAATTAAAAACTTCTAAAAACCCAACAAAAAATCCACGAACTAAAAGTTTCAATAGAATTTTCAAATTATAGATACCCGCGTAAAATAAAAAGAAAAAGAACAGGGTTTCTTGACAAAAAAATCTTCAATTAATACAATACATTCTAAGCAGTTTTATTTTGTAAAAAATCAAATCAAGTCAAACGCAATTAGATTAAAGTTTAATAAAAAAAAAAACATTCCAAAATTTAAAAAAAGACGTTCCAAGTGTAACGCAACTTAAAAAAAAACACTAATATACAGGACGAGTAATAAGTATTGGTAGGTATGTCTGGTGTGCACTCGATCACCTTGCATTGACATTGAATATTAAATCTACTCTGTCTGTCTGCTTCACACTCATTCTCTTTCGCTAATGAAGCTTCACTTTATTGCTTGTTACATTGTATGAGATTCTGAAAAATAATAAACAGCACATACGATGACTTTAAATTTTACGTCAGTATGTTGTAGACGAAGCGTTTAATTCATCTTGTCCATACTAAGACTTACTAATAATTTAAATTCTGTCTTTTCTATGAGCGAATCTTAATATATGAAAGGGAAGAAATATGGCAGACGATTATAGTGAGCGATCTGGGAATTCTTCATTATCCCCACTAAGTCCGGAATAGTCTCGTACCATTAGCTGCACATTACTTGCAGCTGAAAACATCCACCATCTCTAATACAATTTTGAGTTGAATATCCACATTTAGTCAGCTTTCGCTTGCCTTCTCCGAGTTTGGGTCTGAATTTTTTTGGAAAAAGTCTCGCTGCTGAAGTTGTGCTTTACAAAAATTATAGCCCAGAATAAGAATATGTATATCGAAATTTGAATTACTAAGTTTAAATTTTATTTGGTATAATGATTCATAAAACTACAAAGTTCTAAGTAAAATAGTTAATAACGATAAAAATAAAGCTTATTACTATAAACCACAAACTATACATGCCAGAGTAAATACAACAATATGCAGAAGGAATGTTCGGCAATGACAAAAAAAGGTGCTGTTGAAGCCAATTAAACCACGCTTCGGTGTCGCGCTTCAAAAAAGACCATATTTTTTAAGAAATTACGGCAAAAAACAAAGGTTAAATTTAACAATAAATTAGATCGCAGCAAAGATTTTGAATATTTATGCAGGTTGGTTGGTTAGTTAGTTGGTTTTTTTATCGATGTTTTCATTAAGGAGACATAAGGCGAAATTAAAAGTTGCGAGCCGATTTCATATAACTTAAACATAAAAGTCCTGCCAGGGTTTACGAGTACACCGAAAATTTGCATGCGTAATTCTTATTTAAATTTCAAAAAATAACGATGCCTTATGTTATTTGCATTTTCCAAAAAATAATAATAACAGGGTATTAAAGACCGAAAAGCAGCTACCTAAAAAAAATCGAGACGCATTAATTCGGCCTTACGGGTAGAGGTGATTTAACGTTTCTACAGAGCGTTCCAAATTTTATTCGCCCTTAAAATGATGGTGTCTTTTAAATTCTATTTTGTGTTCATTAAATAATAGCAGATTCACTACCATGGAAAATAATATCAATATCAGGGTAATTTCGGGAACCAAAATTAATGCCCCCCACCCCGCACACCCGAATTGGTACCAATATTATATATAGAACCGATCGAAGAACACTCTGTAGTGCAATGGAAATAAAACAAAAAATTCTGCAAACCAAACTGAACGGGTTATAATCGTCTCTAATTTTTACTTAATAAACGTATACGTATTGCATGGTAATAATCAGTACGAGTTTACAGTGGTCTGAAGGTGGTTATTCTGCTTTGCCACCATTCAAGGTCAGCTCAAGATCTAAGAATGTCTTTACTGACCATCCCGAGTATCCCAGTGACCTAGTTTGACCACACACGATATCCAGTAGCTTTTCGAACATCGTAAGGATTTTTCGAAATTGAAAATTGACGAAATTAATTTTCAGTCATTCCTGGAGTTTATATAAGTGGATGTTATCAGTGTCATCGACCCACTTTGACCCGAAGAACATCAGCAGACATGCGCAATCGGGTGAATTGTTGGAAACTGTTTTTTTTTATATACAGAAACGTGAAGTTTCCAGAAAATGGCTAAACACGATGGACATCCTTAAATTTTACAGTCTTCATTGTCTCGCCGATGCTTGAAATTTAAGGAAGCAAATTTCTTAACGTTAATAATAGAAACGTGATAGTTTCTGTATAAAACAACTTCACATCCTACAGACGCAAAATTGAATTCAAACGGCATCCACCAAAAGTAGTCGCCACACATGCGAATAAAATTCAAGCAGCATTTTATTAAATTTGTTATAATGATATTTTTTAAATTACAGCAATTCCAAATATTTAAAAGAATTAGTTTTTAACCATATAACTTCTAGTCCTACTGTCATATCCAAATGATGAATGGTCTGCCAATTATTCACTAGATGTTGATCTGTTTTTAGCGCAATAACGACAAAAACTGTTTAGTTTTATTGCTTTCCAACATTATTTCCACGTTCACATTTTCTTTTAGGGCTGTAAATTCCAGTCTATCTCAATGTCACGGGAAAATCAGTAGGACTGCAAAATTCAAGAGCTTTAAGCAGACTTTTGGCCTCCTTGCAATATAGCCCAATACTTCGCTGGAAAATGAGGTGATATTGGAAATTACTATCGCAGCTATCGTTCAGTGCAACATAAACTAATCTAAAATATGCTGAATATTTTTCAAATTCCCCATTTGAGTGGAGGATTTTATTCTAAATGAAAAACTTCTAAAGGCTGGACGAGGGTTTACGAGCAGTAACTTTTACGAGGTATTCAATCTAAAAAAATGAGAACGATTTGAACGGCGATATCCGTTCGATTTCATTAAACAACTAAGTTGAATCGCTAATGATCTAGTTTTAGAAGTACATTAATTTTTCTTTTTCCGTATGGTCTGGATTCCGGTCCGAAACCTATTTCCACGGTTTTTATTGCTGAAATGTTCTAACGACTTCCAACCTCGACCAATTTGATCCTTAATCTAAGCCAGAAAGTCATTTATCTAAATTTATAACGGGTGAGTTGTCGTGTCGTATGCAGTAGGAATATTGTTTAATAGTTTAAACGGATTCCCTTAGAACTCGAACAAAAGTCCTAGATCATACGTTTAGGATTTCAGTAGTCGTTCTACTGGAAATATGAACCGATGAGAATATCTAGTTTTAGCCTGCGAACGAATGAAATAAGTCAAAACTTCCAAAACAAAGTGAAAGGTATGTCAAATGGTTGATAGCGATGTTAAGTACAGTTGAAGGTAAATTACACCACAAGACATTTAAGGAAAAGATTAACTAAGACACTTCGTTTTCGAATCGATAGTGCATACGAAGTATGAAAAAAATTAGAACAACAACAGCAACAAGCTTACCGTCTCATGTTAAACCAGAAAAATTATAATAGATGGCGAGAGCATCGAAAATTATTTAGGGTGCTGAGGGCGTAACAGTTATGCAACCACAAAATCTTCGTTGTCCCAGAAGGAAAAGATTAAGGATGCAAAAAGTCTGTGCTGGTTCCATCTGTCGGCAGTTTTTAAAACACACTAGAATCAATTTATTTCCAAAAAAGAACCCCTCTAAATAAAGCCAAAATGTTTCACTGTGAGAACAATTTAATTAGTAACGAACTCCAAGCTATAAGTATATGGCTTAAATTCAGATTTCTGGAATAATTACTTAATTGAAATGGCGTTTTTTGAAGCTGGAAACAGCAACCGACAATGGATTCAGACCTATACTGCATTTTTTAGTACTTATTTTGCGCTTAATTGGGGACCTCGCTGGACGTCCATACACAAAAAATCAATATTTTAATAAAAACAAAATAATTTTTAAGCATCTTCACTCGAATAATATGGGATATATGTGTATTTTTTCGGTAAAGTGCACAAAATATTTACGGAAAAAAAGCAATGCCTTGATCTGAATGAGTTTGCCCTAGTTTTTGTATCATAAGGAAATGTTTGACTTGTTGTCTGTGACTTTATATTACAATATAGAAACTTCACCTAAACTTTACCGGTAGAGCCAATAAAAATAAACAACAATAAATAAAACTATTTTATTGCTTATAAAAATTACCCATATACCATATATAGGGTAGCTCAGTACTATGAGATTTTGGAATCTCCCAAAGGCATTTTTTTGTTTAAAAAAAAATAAAACAAAACTCATTCCATGAGAGTTCCCTTTGCTGTAAAATCAGCTATTATTTACAGAGTGCCTCAGATAATAGACTTTTAGGTTCTATAATGGTATTTTAACACATTTACTTCAAATTTATTTCATTAGTTCTTATACCCGGAAATATAAGCGTTTCAAATAATGAACACTTTGTTATTATATAACCTCTAAAAGTTATTTAATAATTGCTTTTTCCATTATAGATGACCCAAGTGTCTTATATTTGCAAAATTATCAGAATTACTCCACTTTTATTTGAAAACTGAAAACCCTGAAAGTGAAATGCCATTAGTGACTTATGAAATATAGTAATTAGGGTACTTTCATTGGGTTTATTAGTTTGATAAGTAATATGCTAATGTGAAAACACAAAAATCCCCCAGTAATGAGCTACCATTTATAAACAAAAATATAAGGCACAACAGCTTCAAAACAAAAATGAAAAATATAAATTCAGCATAAACAAAACACAAGCAAATATTTGTATAAAATAAAAGTAATAAAATATAATACATAAAAATTATATCTTTATAATGATATGATGAATTCTTGAATGTCGTAGGTGCCGAGGCAACATGACAAAGTAAATCAAAGTAACAAAATCTTAATAGAAACCTATTGTTAACACTTATAAAGAAAAAAGTAAATTATATATTTTTTTTATATTTTGCAATTAAGCTAATACCACCCAAAGTTAATTAATTACATTGATAGCTGAATAACTTTTAAAAATTAAGCCTGTATAACATTTTCGCTCGTCTCTATTCAAAAAGAGTCCAAGAGCCACAAACGCAAGAAGTAAAGTGATCTAAGCACTTGTCATAACTTGTCGGACGCATTCGGTAACGAATCTTTCCTTTTCGTCCAATAAAGAATCCAAAGAATTTTCCAGCTCGTTGAAAGCGTTAATTGAGAACCTTTTTCCTTTGAGACCTGTAACGACTTTAGCTTCTCCAGTAAAGCCGAAACTAGAGAATCCTTCAGGAACGAAAAGAGTAATATCGGAGATTTTGCCACTCTCTACCGTCATTGTGACCTTTACATCTGCGCATGTGCCGCTAGTATTATGGATGAGGCCTCCTGGTACTGGAAAGGATTGTGTGATGTGGAACTTTGGTGTGTTTCCGTAGCACCAATCCCAACTGGTGTAATAATCCTGAATTTCCTTCAGACCTTTAATATAAAAGTTTTTATCTAGCGTGGAACTTGAGCGAACAAAAGGACTACTACTGGTAATATCTTAACACTGAAGGCGTGTGTACAAAGCATTAGTAAGAAAGCAAGCAAAACAAAATATATGAAATGTTCCAAAGTTTGAAATAAAATTAAGTTAAATACTTCAACTTGTATGCAGCAATTTTATTAAAAGGAGATAACATACTCGAATTTTTTACGTCAACTGATAACACAGTCTGAAGATAAAGGTCACGCAATCAGACAGTGAACAACAGATGATAAAAGTTATTTAACCTGTTTACAATGAAAACGATGTTGCCACAAATAAGACCATTAAAATCGTGCTTAGTCCGATTCATACCAATCGCTATTCTGTTATTTCAAACTCTAGACTTTGGACTATTGACTATAATTGTGCGAACATTACCCAAAAGTTCTTTAAGGATGTATTATTTTCAAAGATAAACTATTCATACACCCGTTGGTGCTTGGTTATTTTACTGCAGAAAATATGGATAAATAACGGTTAATGGGACTGCTTTTTAATTTATTTGCTGGAAACCCTTCTTCAATTTATTTTTGAAAAAAGCGCCGACGTTTCTTGTTTTGGCGTTTCATACGGAAGCCAGTCTCGACGACAGAAAATAACTTTTACCCGAAAAAACGTTATGGCAACTACCAAATTTCATATCTAAAGCAGTTTCAATAAATATAACGAAAAACCCTTTTTTTAACACAACCTTAAGTAACAGCATGTAATTTATGATACGCTCTGTATAATTGTATAAAACTCTGTCCAAAGGGTAGCCTTAAACAAGATAATTGTGGATATTTTAATTAAAAAATAAAAATATTCACATCTAATGCTTAAAAAATGACTTTGATAAAAAATATTTTAATTATTACCTTGACCTTTCTCACGATATAGATAAAACCCCAAAATTTACATAGAATAACTTCTGTTCCTACCATTATTTTTTGTTTATTGAGAATAATTTCAAAAAAATTTTTTACAAACTTTTCCTCCCATATTGTAAAGTAGTAAATAAACATATTTTTATTTATTTAGTTAATCTGTTTATTTGTAAATCTTTATGCTGTTTACCTTGAATATTTGAAACCTATCTTTTTAACAGTGTATTAACTATTTTATAAACAAAACAACATTACCGCCATTTAAAATGCACGCAATTATAGATAAACCAAAGAGTAGACTCAAATGTTATTTTAATGATGTCATTAACCCGCAGATCAAACACCAATGTAATATTTCCAAAACGCAACAATTTACCTGGAAACCAGTTTTCCGTGGGATTAATCATCTGAAAGCCATTTTGTTTATTGGCAAGTTCCTGGCCGCCATCTTTCATAGTTAGGGCTGTAGTCCGCATGAATTCCCAGCCAATCGCTTTCATAACCAAGGGAATTGTTACTTTGGTATTTTCCTCACATAAGTTCATCATCTTCGCCACCCTGGAGAGTGTCGCTTTGGATTGAATGGAAACCTGTTTCATCATTTCAGTTTAAATTGCAAGCCATTTTGTTTTGCCCACAGTACTGTCCATGATGTCAGGGAATGTGCCAAGATAATATTTACACAACCCTCTCCATATCACAAATTTTTTATTGTCAACCAAATGAAATTTAATCTCTTACCTCATGCTTTTGCAGTGCCAAGGTTGCATTAACTTTATTTGTGGAAACTAATAATGAGCAATGATGGTACGAATTGGTTCTCCCCAGCTTTGCTGCTGTACCAGATACTTCCTAAATAATGTTAAGGAAAAAGTATCTACGTATTAGTTTGCAGCAAAGTTGTCAGTTTTACCTTATCACAACCAAAGCCAAACCAGTATTACAGACATTATTTTGAGATGAGGGACTACTGATAACCCCTGCAAACAAAATTTCATAACCTACTGTCATGAGGTTGCTTAAATACATTCTCCCGTTTCTGAGAAACTCAACATTTTTATTAAGAGAAACAAGATGAAAACTAAGTATACCTAAGTTAAATAAAAGGATACTTTATTGCTCCTCAAAACCAATTCATTTGACGAAACTTCAGTCATTAAACCAAATTCTCTAAACAACCCTCTTGATAGGACCTCAAAATTGTACCTGGCATTAAATCTCTCACTAGGAGTGAAAAAGGTCACATTCAAATTGCCCAAATCCTGATAGAGTGCTCCACCTCCACTACTTCTTCTTACCAGCTGCACACCATTGTCCGTGATGTTGTCCAATTCTGTATAATTGGCTTCCGACCAGGGATTCTGATGGCGGCCGATAACAACACACGGATCATTCTGCCATAGCATTAAAACATGATGTTTTGTAAAATCAAAATTTTTGTAAAGCCACTGTTCAATAGCTAAATTAGTGTAAATATCTTTGCTTTGTGAAATGAATACAGACTTTTTAATGTTCTTTTCTAAAGATAGATCAGTCTTTGAGTAATATCTGGGAGTTAGTTTTGCACTTTGTAAAATGCAGCTAAATTTAGTGCATGAACGTTGGAAAAGCGCCATGATTTCTGTTTTGTTCTATTCTGTTTTGTAGTTGCTGTGCCCAAACTAAGCTCCTCAATGCGTCAGGAAGTTTGTTTTACAGGCGTTTTTTGAAGAGGAGGTTAATGAAATGAGATATTCGTGAAGAGTGATAGTTTGATGCAACCACTTCCAAGTTTGATGCAATGAATTCAAGTAACGAACACGTAGTCCAAGACAGTCTTTAGTGGTTCTCAGCATTCCTCTCCCAGCAGCCAGATTGATAAAAAATTGAAGCACACTTATTTGAATGAAAACAACACTTATGCACAATCGCACAGCATATACTACACTCACAATAACCAGACTGGTTTGACTATGGCATATTTATCGCTTTTATACGAGGCCGTGCCGGTGGGGGTCATGAGTATCCCAGGGGGTCACTGATAACAAAACTTATCACGAGACAAAGGAAGCATGACTATCATTCGCTTTGCTCGCCTAATTACTAAAGCGAATTACGAAAAACTATTCCAACGATCTTTTTTGGCATTGAAGCTTGATAGGGTACATTTTTGTAAATTTGGTGCCACAATTCACGATGTCATATTCTTCGATTCCCTTTACATTGAAAATTTTACCTCATCGCCACTTAAAATGAAATTCCTTGGTCCGTAACTGAATGTCACTGACCACAGAAGAGGTTTACAAAGGAAGCGCAATATATAAAAAACCCTATGTGCAGACACGTATCGAAAAAAAACTGTTTTTGTTTTATTGATAGATAGATTTATTGATAGATATTATTTAATATAAAATGCCAATGAAGCCTATATTCCGTTATTAAATTGTTTGAATCGATACCTTCACGAACTAAATATTTGCCAAAGGTTTACGTTTATTTGCTCAGCGCCGCAAAAAAATAATCTCTCGGTCTGCATACGGTCTGTTACTGCGTTTTAAAATTTAACGAAATGTGGTCGGAGATGTTACCAATTACAAGGTTTTTTCGTGTAAAGTTAATTGAAATTTTAGTTAAACCGACGAAGTGGTATCGTAGCGTTCAAAATATTTTGTCATTTTAAACGATTTTCGTTTGGTCAAAGCTCAATGATGATCAAGTTTAGTATTTTGATGTTTTTACCTTCTGTATTATAAATTTCTTATGAAATGCCTGTTTCTGTTACCTAACAAAGTAACTAATAGCAAATCTTTGCATTGAAGGATACAGTGCATTATACTGTCCTTTGCGGACAACCGAGACTGGTGCACTTAAGGAAAGTAATCCTGCGATGGTGGATGCTCATTTTTTTTCGTATTACTGGCGAATGCGCAAGAATTGTTGAATTAGTTAACAATAAAACACTAGAATCCGTAAATTTTATTAACAAGCAGGTTACAATTGTTCTGAAACTATTAAAAGATATGACAATTATTTTTGTCTTATTACTTTCGATAACCCTTATTTTCGTGTTCCGTTCTAGGTAAGAACAATAAACTGTATAATAAAAGTTGCCCGTGATTGTGTTGCCCTATTAAATGAACATTGACAAATAAAAATAAAAGCAACGTTCATAAAAATAATCTATCCCTACATTATGTTTTCATGTTAATCGTTGAATGAAATGTTAGATTGGTTTTGCTCATCATAAAAGTGCATGAAAGATGAAATCGTTAAAAGAATGTTACGTTTAAAAAGCTAGCAATATAGGGAAATTCACATTTCGCATTTGTTGGTGCGTTGTATTGCGATGGCGGATGCGCACTTCTTTTTTTAATTTATGGCGGATGCGTCAGAATTTTAATTTATAAAATTAGTAACAAAGCGGAGTTGGTCAATTTTATATAAAAGCAAGTTACGTGGTAATTGTTCTTCAGTATAAACAAATAAAAATCGCGAGGATATTAAAGATCTGTCAATTAATTAAGTTGCTGGATGCTCCGGTATGGGAAAAAAAAGATTTCATATGATCTTTCTCCTAGGTCAACAAGGTTCATTTGAACTTCCGATTTTTGCCATCAAGTTCTTAGAGTGCAAATAGTTGACATGAAACATGAAGGGGTTAAAAGTATTGTAAGTTTGAGAAACTTTTAAAATCTTGGTATTTAGTCTCAGCTTCCGTGTGCTTGCTGAATTTGAAGTGAATGCGCCAGAATAGTAATTTACAGCAATTTTTAATTACAAAAGAACTGTGTTGATTAATTTTGTATAGAAGCAAGTTACGTAGAAATTGTTCTTTACTAAATACAAGCAAAAATCTCGAAGATAATAAGGGTTTGATACTTTTTTCGTATTCCTTGTTCGGGTTTTTTTGTTGATCAAATGAACTGTATGGCACAATTTTGAAAAGTGGTCAACTATGGAATTACACTATTAAATGGAAATGTTTAAGAAAAATAATTGCTAAGCCTATATGTAGCTTTCTTATTGCACGTGCTTTACTTTTGAAAACATACTTCTTATGCCTTAAGTTTAGAACAGGCATGGTAACATGATACCAATGCAATTACTGTGCATGGAGTGAAGTGTGATTGGCCCATTTTGAGTAAGCTTAGAATATTAATAAAACATATCGACCTATTGCCGTTAGCCAATTTGCCCGCATTACCAAAAGACGAAGAAAACGAAAAAGAAATTGAACTCCTCGAATTAACTATGCACACAAAACTAACCATATTTGATCTAAGCGCCCTCTAAAGCAATATACAAAAACTAAATCAGTATAATCTGGGTTGCCTAACTGCGCTTATATTCGAAAACTGAAAACATGGGACGATATCTTTAATCTTTATTTAAGATTTAAGAGTTTCTTCAAAAAACGAAATTGTTTGTGGGTTGTTTTGTGATAGCCCTTTTATTTAATTTTGACGGATGCGCCAGAATTGTAATTTACAGCGATTTTAAATGAGTAAAATAGCGGTTAATTTTATATAAATGCAAATTACGTTGTAATTGCTCTCTATTTAGAATAAATTAAAATCGCGAAGAGGTTAAAGATCTGATAATTAATTTCAAATTTTCTGTCGTGTTGTTTTGTTTGACAAGCGACTTCAATTATGTTTTTGGTTATCCAATTATCCACAAGGTGGATTTTCACTTTAACTTGATCGGTAATTATTTTAGGGTTGGGAGTAAAAGTAAATAAAGCTACTTGCCGTTTTCGAATCGTCCAACGAGGTGTTTTATTTCACCAAGTTACATTCCCCGCTATGCAATTATTCTTTATCCCATTCCTAAGGGTTGATATTTTACTTTTTTACTGTCGCTATCGGTGCTCTACTAGGAAACTGTTAACTTTGAAAAATAAATAAATAAAAAGGAAATAAATCACAAGTAAATAGAGAGAAACGTAGTTAACTGGCGCCGGAAGGATGAGATCCACCGGTCGCACTGTTCCTTACCAAAGGTCTTTGGGTGGAGCTGGTTTCATGTTTTCTTTCCACACTGAAAAAAGGACATAATTTACGAATTTGTAAATGACATTTTCAAGTAGCGACACTGTCTCTACCTGTTGCTCCTGGACGAGGATCCGCTTCTTTTAAAAATTCCCGTTATTCTATCTTTCAAGTCCTTTTTACTTCCTCGATCTTCCAGGATGTCGGAACCAGAGTTGTTCTGCAACACGTTAAAATACATGAACGACGATCGCGAAGCACATATCGATTCAATTCGAACCTTAGACGACGATAACGCCCTGGTGGGCGAGAAGCTTCCGGGGTCTTGGTCGTCAATACTCCTCGACTTGGTCAAATTCCTGAGTTTGCCCATCAAACTCTTCTTTTTCTTTTTATCTCCGACGTCGCTTTGAGTGGATCCGCCCGACAACCTGCTGTCCAAACTGAAATCGCGTTTGGCCTCTTCCATCGACCGCAAACTGGACAAACTGTCGTTGACGTTCACCTCGTTGGTCCATATTTTCTGGTCTGCTCCCGTGGTGTGCTCCAAGGACAAACTTTTTCTATACAAACTGCCCTGCGAGGTGACGGACGCTTTTCTGACCATGTTTCGATTATATCGGGATTCCGTTTCCGTCGAAGTCGCTCTGCGCATGCCCATCCTCCTCATCCGTTCCTTCTCGTCGTCGTCTTCCGTCACTCTTTGCAGTTTTCTCAGATCTTCGGTGGTGTGCACCAGTCGTTGCATTACCAATTGGATCTTCTGTTTCTTCTCTTCCGGGTCGACGGACAACGAACGCTCCGTTCTATCCAGAGCAGGCGACGTTTCTCTGGATTTGGATTTGGTGCGACGCGGGGGTGTGGGTGTGTAGGGGGCCTCGTCATCTCTGCAGAAAAACAACTCGGGTGCCAACTGCTTGAGCATGTCGACCTGTTCAATAATCGCGTTTACTTTCCTATCGTCTTCCAGATCCACTTTGCGTCTATCCATCTTGAGCACCCGATACTCTTCTCTATCTCTTTCGTAGCGTTCCTTCTCTCTCCGCAATTTCTCATTGGTCGTCCTGAGCTTAGCGTGAGCGTCCCTCAACTCCAGCAAGTCGCATTGCAGTTCTGTCACTTTTCGCTTGGTCTCTTCCTGTTCCTCCTCGACCGACTTTTTAAACTGCTCCTGCTTCCTCTTGGCCTCTAACCTCTCCTTGTCCCTCTCCCGTTCTACTTCGAACAACGTCTGTCGCAAGTCCCGTGCCAAAGTGGCCGTTTCTTGAAGCAGTCGTTGCTGTTCTTCCCGTTCTTTTTGCCATGCCAATTCCATTCTGGTCCGCAAACCCATGATTTTGGTGCGTCCGCTGCTCAACACTTTCTCCTCCTCTAATTCGTTAATTTTCGAATGCAGTTCTGACAATTTCACTTCCCACGTCGATTTTTCCGACACCATTTCCGTCTTCAACCTGGAACTTTCCAGTCTGGCTTCGGACAGTTCATCTTCCATACAACTCACTTGCTGTTCCAGACACAACACTTTCGTTTTCGCATCTTCCAGCTGGAAGATGATCATTGAAAAACCACGTGGTTTTATTAAAACTAACCTACCTCGTCGTAGTACAGTCTTTCTTTGGGATCTTTGGACTTGTTCAGATGTGGAGACTGCTTTAGTTCGCCGATCGTTTTCTGAGCCGACTCCAGCATATGTTTGTAGCTGTCCTTTTCTCTTTTGAATCGTAACACTTGGTTTTGGAGAGACCGGAGTTCCGCGTTTACGACGTTCAACTGACTTTCGTAACGGATTTTGCATTCGGCCAGTTCGCTTTTCTTCGATTTATCGAAATTACTCAGTCTGGAACGAAGCGGGCGCTATCAAAGTGAAAGTGAAAGTGAAATTTCTGAGAAAGGGACTCACTTCAGTCGCAGCTGTTTCATTTCCTTGTCCATCGCTGACGAATCCGCGCTTATGGTTCTTTGTATTTTGTTCACCTTTTCGTAATCGTCCAATTTCTTTTTCAATTCGTCATTCTCTCTTCTCATATATTCCATTTGACTTTGGATAGCGTCGTGCTCTTTCCTTACGTTGTCGATTTCCGATTGCTTCTCCCCCAAAACCGCCTTCAATCTCTGTTTCTCATAATCGTTCCCATTACTAGCGACCGTCGAGTACTGCCTGTTTGACAACTCTTTGATTCTCTGTTCCAATTCGAGTCTATCTTTGATCCACGCATCTTGTTTCGTATTGTACGTCTCTCGCAGCGTCTTCAGTTCGCCTTCCAGCTGCTCGCACTCCTTTCTCAGACTGTTATATTGACTGAAAAAATACTTAATTAGTGTAGGAAACTGATTGATTAGCCGCGTTTACTGGTTAAGCGTTTCATTTTCCATCACTAATTTCGCTTTGGTCACCACATGCTCCTCCTCCAAAATTTCATATTTCGCGGTCAGATCGTTATACTTTTGCTTTTCTTCTGCGACGCTACGCTCCAATTCTACGAAACAATTAGGTCCGTTTAGAAATAAAGTAATCCAACGTCGTCACCTGCCTTACTGTCAATACTGTCTCGGAAATAGTTGACATCGTCGGCTTCCTTTTTGGTTCCGTACCTGGACGTCATTTCCCGATTTTTATGCTCTTTGTCCGCGTTGCTTTTCAACACTTCAACTTTCTTCTTTTCATTCGTTAAATCTATTTCCAGTTCCTTAACTCGTTTCTCATGCACCACTTTGGCGTTTTTCCTTTCCGCCTCCCCTTTCTTCAATTTATCTTCTAAACTTCTCTGATTCTTCACGGCAGCGTCCAATTTGGATTCGAGTTCCGTTAGACGTTGATTTTTCTTCGCTATTTCTTTTCCGTCCGCTGCCGCTTTTAACGCGCATTCTTCCTATACATAAAATATAACACCTCGTAGATAATTAGTGCATCGCACTTCGACGCACTTACCAGTTGCTTGATAGATCTATCTTTGTCTTCGATAGCGTTTTCGAGGCTTTTAATGTTCGAATTGAATTCTTCAATCTGTAGAATGAATTTCTTCTTCTCTTTTTCCCATTTCACTTGCTCCGACTCCAACGTTTTAATTTTCCGTTTTTCATTTTCAATCTGAAAAGCAATCGTGTTAGTTACACATTATAATTCCTTCGTTAAAATGCACAAATTTACCTTCGCTTCAAAACTTTTGCATTTCTTTTCGCATTCCGAATAATTATTCTCCTTTGTGATCAACTCGGATTGTAATTCCGCAATTTTTTTCGCTTTTGCCGCGTTGTCGGCGGCAAACTTTTTACTCTCCCGTAATTCCATCTTGAGATTTTTAATTTCGTCCGTTTTTGAATCGACATTTGATTTCAAAATGTCAAGTTCACTAGTCAACTTGATGATTTCTTCTTTTTTTGTCTCCAGGCTCTCTAAAAGTGTCGCCAAATGGGTTTCTCGACAGAACAAACCGCTTTGAAACTCACTCCAATCACTTTTCAGTTTGCTAATTTCCGCTTCCAAAGCAGCTTTTTCCACGGAAATTTGATTTTTTTCTTCCTTCAGACTGGCAACCTCCTCTTTTAATTCGTTCTTCTCGCCGTTCACCTTCTCCAGCGATTTATTCAATCTTTCAACCTCCACCTCAATCTGTTTCTCCCTCTCCCCCTCCAGCTCCAGCTTTACCGTTTTCTTCATCTCCCGTTCTAATTTGGTCCGTTCGTTCTCGCTCGTTTTCAGACACGTCAACATTTCCCCGATTTCTTTTTCCAAATCGCCGACCATGTTTTTCAATTGCTCCCTAGTGGTGAGGGCGGATACTTTTTTGGGCGCACGTTGGCTAAACTTTCTATAGTCCCCCTAAAGACGCAAAAGAACATATACAGGGTGTTTGGAAATTGAGTTCGGAAACTTGGAGGAAAGATTCGATGCTAGTAAGTCATGTAACAAAAATTCAAATTCGAATTCGTAATATTTTCCGAGTTATAGCTTTAATTATCAACGGAATTTCCTGGTATTTTACACACTGGCTTGATTTAGTAAAAGCCATCGTTGCAAAATACAAGCGTTTCAGAAATCCGTCACTAGAGGGTACTTTACCTAGAACATTTTTTTTTAGTTTCCCTATATTTTATTTATTTAGATTGATGTTGCAAAATAGAACAGATTGCCTTAAGCAGAATCACAATCCCTCAAAAACTGTTACTCTTGTTTTCAGTTGATGAGGGTTATCATTTAGCCACAAATCGACTTTTTTAATCTAGGCCCGAATATCCAACACCTTTAATTTACAGGAAGGTGATACTGGATATCGCGATATGCATTTCTGTTAGGTAAAAGCGAGTGGAAATGCAGCCCGGCATTATTATCCTGCAGGCGATGTGCCCACGGGTCAATTCAAAACATTTTCTCATACAGATTTCGCAACCGTTTATTGCATTAACCACATGTTTTGTCTCCACTACAAAGGTACCTTTTCAGCAAAGGCGGTAGTTCCTTTTGGAGAAATTGCAATTGCCTTAAGCTATCCGTTAAAGAAATGAGGTCCTATAAGATTATCTCCTATAATCGCTGCCCATACATTTAAAGAAAACCGGCGCCGCTGTTTTCCTTCAATTTTTGCAATTTACAATGTCATCACAACTGAATGCAACCTCATCAGTGAACAAAATTACATTTAAGAATTGCTGGGAATTTTGAATTTTTCCTAAAATGTGAGCAGAAACTTTTAACATACTCGTTGACGAGTCAGCCTCCACATTTTGAAGTATTCTTTCTTCTCTTGCAGCGGTCCTTTAATGCCTTGGTCTCCCTTTATTCATATTATCAGGTTTGAATGATCTTTTTTCACCAAGTCTTCTGTGTATGCTGATGAATGTCTTAGCAGATGGAACGCATATCGCGATATTCAGTAGTTGAATATTCCTGATCGTCCGGTTAGGTAAAATGGCATTTACAGGTAAAATTCCAGCCGAGAATAAAAAATCGATCGATTTAAAATAAGAGTAACAATGTTTGAAGATTTGTGATTTTGCTTAAGGCAATCTGTTCTATTTTGCAATATCAGTCTAAATAAATAAAATACAACGAAAATAAAAAAAAATGTTCTAGGTAAAATGCCCTCGAGTGACAGATTTCTGAAACACTTTTACTTTGTAACGATGACTTTTACTAAATCAGGGCTGTGTGTAAAAAGTAGTAAATTTTAAAAAATGAATTTCGAGTTTTTATTACACGAATAACTACCATAATTTTACCATATTGAATCTTTCCTTCAAGTTTCACAACATTATATTGAAGTATATCGAAGCGCGAAGCGAAGCGAGTAACCTTTCGAGTCTCTGCGAAGAGTGAAGAGGAATCTCCGTTAACCCCCGTCGCCGCCGTCGTCAATTGCTCGATGGTTTTCCGCGCTCCTTCCAATTCCACCTCCAATGTCGCAATTTGGTCGATGTACTTGTCGACATTTTTATCCATTTTTTTGCTTTTGGTACCGGCGAGCAAAGCGAGTCTCTTGTTTTCCCCGTTCAACTTATCGTTCTCGCTTTCCAGCGACTGAACTTTATTGCGTAGAACCGACGTTTCCTGTTCCATCGATTGAAGCTGTCGCTTCAGATCCAAAGTCTGTTGGTCCAAATCCAACGATCTGTAACAGAAGCATAGAAGCGACACTCAGCCTGTTTACGTTTGAACGCCTCTCGTTGGGTGGTTTACTTGCTCTTCTGGACGCCCTTTGATCGTTTAGAATTCAAACTGAGCTCCGCGTGCAACCTTTCGCAGTCCCTTTCCTTCTCGATCAATTTCTTCCTTAATTCGTTAGTTTCATCTTCTAAAACCTAGGTGTCACAATAAGAGTTGCGCATCTTCGCTGCCCGCAAACCTTACCTTAATCTTTTGACCGTCCAAGGCCCCGGATCGATTTCCATCGTCTTTCTCGCTGTTAATTAGGCTTCTTCTCATCTGTTTCGACGTCAGTTTGTCGTGAATGTCTTTGGTTTTTGCTTTCAGCTTACGATTCTCGCCTTCCAGCTCTTCGATTTTCTTCCGAAGCACCGACGATTCTTGCTCGCTCAACTCCAACTGCAGTTTCAATTCGTTCGGGTCCTCTTCTTCCGTGACGTCGTTCTTGCTGGCGGCGCCATCGGGACTCAACCTTTGACTCGTCGGACTGTGCTTTCGACCTGCGCAAGAAATACAACTTGGATTTTCCAAATCGAACATGTCGCTTCCACTTTACCTCGAGCCCTTGACGCCATCTTTTTCACTTGTAAAACCAACGATTCGTTGTCGTCTTCGATTCGAGAGACCTTCTTACGTAAATTTTCCGCCTACCGATAAAAATTATTCTCACGAGGAACGTAATAATGGAGCGTGATTAATAGTTACCTCCTCCTCCGCAAATTTCAATTGTTCCCGTAGATCCGCCTCTCTTTCCAACGAGTCTTGAAGGTCCCTCAATAACTGTGCGGGGTCTTCTTGCGAACCACCCCTGGTCAATGATTCTCGCGACATTTTCTCGAGAAGGGGAGCTTTTTTTTTAACGCCCATCGACGAAATTTGCCTTTCCTCCACTATTCTATTCGACTCTTCCAATTCCTTTTGCAGTCTCAACGACACTTCGTTCGACACTTTTAACTCTTGTTCCAATTGTTTGATCCGCTCCACGTGGCTCAATACGGACGACGCGTCCGAAACTTGATTGAGCTTTTTCTCCAATTCCGCTTTTTCCGTTTCCAGTTGCTCCGCTTTCCTCTCGGTTTTCCGCAGCTTAAACGACAATATCCGACAGTTCTTTGTCGTCTGGTCCAATTCCTTTTTAATCGACGTATATTCGACGGCCTGATCCTCCCTGCACCCAAAACAAACACCTAAACATTTCAAATTTGATTGAGTCAAAAACGTACCGAAAATTGTCTTGCATTTCGTCAATCTGTTCCTCCATATCCCTCAGCTCTTTTTTAATATCTTCATTCTCGTCCATCAATTCTTCGCACAACGTTTCGGCGGCCAACAATTTCGACCTTAACTCGTCCACGGTTTTTTGCGCTTCCTGAGCCGTGGGCCGCAGATCCAAATCAACCTCCAACTCTTTCACCCTCAACGTTAAACTCCTTTTCTCGTCGCGGTAATCCTCCAATTGCTGCTGTAAGTCGTTGCACTTTTGCTGCAGCTTCAACACCTCGCTCGCCGTCGTTTTGCTCGTCGTAGTTTCCATGGCCGCCAATCTTCGAAGAAGGATGTCGCTCTTTTCTCGTTCCAACCGCTCGCATTTCGCCTTGGTGGCGTCCAATTCCTTTTTTAGACTTTCCAATTGTTCCATCATCTCGTTGTCCGCACCCACCAGGGTGGTATCCGTCGTTTCGGTCCCCGCATTACTTATCGTGTCTTCGTTTTCCGATCCGGATCCATCAACGTCGACAGACTTCTGCGCTTTTAAATTTCGTTTTACCTGCAATGATGACAGTAATTAAATAACACTATTCTAGTTTTAGTAGATCAGACACGCGTCCATGCTAACAATAAAAATATTCAGTAGTGTAAGTTAAAAGCACACAAAAGCATTAACAAAGATACCGAACGAGCTTAATGAAATTTTTTCCAAACTAAGCCCTGAATTTTTTTTTCAGTTTGGAAAAATAAAATTAGTATCGGGTTTATATTCAGAATGTTAGTTAAGTATAGTCAAGTGAATATAACGTGAAGCTATTTTATTCGGTGTTGTATAGGTTGTCTTGCAATTACCTTCAATAACTGCTTGAACGCGACAGCTTTAAAATATTTCTGCGGGAATGTAACGGGTTACCGTTTAGTAAAAATAAAATAGATATATAGGGGGCAGGTTGAAGTTAAACACACACGCAACATTGAATTACTTGGATGAGGAATTGTACATCGTGATTATTCGGTTCCTGCGATACGCTCTTTACTTCTTGTACTTGAATCCTCTGACTTCCGCGCGTTTCCTGAATTTCTTGCAATTTTTTAGCCCTCGTTGCTAAACTATCCTCCTTGTCATATAATGACTTCTTATTATTTTTATCTCTTATTATCGAAAAGCTATCTGAAACTATCGCGCCAATTTTGATTTGATAAGTATCTGAACACTACGATAATGATTTCCTTATATCCAACGAGAACCACTAAAATTTTCTTTAATTTTATAGGACCTTGGAAATAAATCGAAAAATGCCGGTTCGCATAATCTACTAACAACTTAATTTCAAATTAAATTAAAATCCTCTTGCGTTTCGTAATTACAGAACAACTGGTAAAATCTATCACTCAAATTAAACATAATATTTACCTGTTCTGTGACCCGTCTCTATAAGTTTTTGTCTCCTTTTGGGTAATTTTATACTAACGGTAGTGACTGCTTGAACATCGTCCTGCAAGTTTGCTAAATCCGGAGTAGATGTCCAAGACGAAGGGTTTGAGTATTCATTGTTGTTAGCACTTTTCTGATTACCATTTTCGCTAGTCAAATTTGTACTCGACATCCAACTCCTTCTGTTGTTACCATCGCTACAACGATACGGTAAATAATTGATATAAAAACCGATGCCATATTACTTACTTAGAATTTAAGGATAAACTTGGTGTAGAAGCTGTCGAATTATCGCGTCTCAGTGCCGGTTCGTCCCTCTTTTTGCCTCCATGTTCCTTATAGTCCCTAAAATCGACATTATCCCGTTGAAATGTTGTTCGTTTTTTAGAGTACTTTATCCTACCTAAAACATCTTTTACACCTAGTAGGCCATCGCACTTGGGGATGGAACCCGAGGGGGCAAAGAGGATCTCCCTTGGCCAACGGATACATATGATGCATCTTAAGAAGATTATTGCAACACTATAAAAAGAAAAACGAACAAATTTTAGATAATTAGCTGTATGCGTCCGGTGCGGGTTAGTTGATGCGGGACGTGGGTATCTATATATAGCTCCAGCAATATGTATATTCGCTATGATTTTTGTGCTACGAACTAATACAAACCTTATTACCAGCTTCACACTTACTGCGTATTTTTAGAAAATAGCTCCCACAAAATTGATTATTATTATTTCCATGTGTAAAATAGCACCTAAATAACAAAATTGGGCTTATCTTTAGTTCTATCCCTTTCGAATTACATAACGGGCTGGTTTTCGTTCGATGTTTTCTTTAAGATTCATCGCAGAAAACACTAAGTAAATATAGGGGTAAACGCATCGCGAGAATGCTGGAAATATTAACTACGTATCAAACCGAATAACTATATGAACTTCGTTCCGATTTTTAATGTTGCTCGCACCTCACAACGCGCTTACTTAAATGTGGGAACATTGCCAAAAGTTGCTTAAATTTCCCAAACAAGACTAATATTTTAATATCGATTAAAATTATTTACCAAAAAATCGATGGATAATCAATATCGCAATTATTTTTAATTCATCCTCCGTGTATTTGATTCTTATTTCGCGCGCTAATATTACGATTACGATACGCGAAATAATGGAACCACCAAGGCTAAAATCAGATTTGTTTAAAATATATGTACTCTAGTGATTCTATTTTTAATTCGCTGTTGAAATTTATCACGAAAACCAGGGTGTTTCCAAAAGGATGTTTGATGACGTTTAAATTTAGTGCGTCGAACTATAACTATTTATTTCTATTTTTATGCTGCCCTTGCGCTAAATATTTTAACATTAGCCGATAACATACCTAAAATGCCCTTTTTTTTAATCTTCAGCGAGAAAAAATTGATTTGTTTTTATTTTTAAATTAACTTATATAACTTTTTTATTAACTTATAAATATTCTTTGAGGAATAAGATTAACTAATAATAATGACACGTTAACTTCAACAATTGGCCCCATTTCTTCTCATAATATTCCAAAAATAAAATACAAAGACACAAACCACGCTACAGGTGATCGAAATTAAAAATAAACCTGGGCTAACCCTATCACAGAAGCCGAGATTTCTTTCTCTCTGGTATTTATTTAATTGGGTTAATCAACTAGTCAAATATCCACCCATTTCCCGATGTCCGCCGAGAAAACATTTATTAACGAAAACTCTTTTCACAACACCCAAGGCAGGGAATCGAACGTGCAACCTAAAGCAAGTCGATTTGGCGAGCGGGGAAAATCTAATTCTACTTCTCCGTTTCAGAAACAGTGCCTGTGAATTATTCGCATAAAAACATAAGTTCCTTCTTCTTTACTTCCATAACATTGATTCGGTCATAGAGGTAGGTTCTTCTTCTTTTATTTACCATTAATTATTTCTTCCTCTTTTTTTACCGCTATAAGACCAGGTCAAAGAATCAGAATCATTTGGCCATTTTTCAGGAGGTGGTGACATTACTTAGCAGTGAGACGTAATTCCACTAGAAAATGCAGATGGCGGATTATCTTACCTACATGTCAAGCCATGCCCGAAATCGCTTTCACGTCTTATTCTTCTTACACTTGATAAGTTAGTATTTGTTCTGCGATTGTAAGAAGATTAACAGTTGCCTTTGACAGGGATTCTGTGGTGGAGCATTGCACGCGGCGGTTTAACCTCTGTTCGCTCCCTACAGAATCTCATGTATTCGTCCCAAAAAGTGTGATATCGGTTTCCACGGTGTGGATTTAGTGTTTTGAGTGTTCAGTGTACGTCTTAAATTGATAATCGTCGTCGGCTCCGTCGTTTTTCCCTGTTCACGCCGGTATTGAGGCCGGATGGGCCCGGATGGTCCGCGGTGGAGGCGGGGGAAGCCGATTTTTTTGGAATCGGTCAGAATCGTTTTTTGCTAGTTGAGCAAATTTTTTTCTTCTTCGTACGTGTTGATCTTTGACCAAAAGCGAAAATCCTCGACGGAAGTCGGCAATGGGCAAATGATCCTAGCAGTCGCGCCCAACAGTCTTTGTGAAACGCATAATTAATTATTAATTAGTTGCTTTTGACGTTTGCTATTTCTTATTCCACAGTAGGCGAGACAAATAGTAAACGTCAACATTTGATAATTAGATATGTGCTCTGAAAAAAATGAATCGTAGCGAAGGAATGGTAAAAAGGCGAAACATAACGCGAGAAAACAATACTGACGGCTTGTCGAAAGAGGTAACTGATGAACGTAAAACAAATAGAGACGACGAAGTTGAAGATGGAGATTCAAAAGAAACTAGGCTAACATTGATGGAAGAAGTGCTACTGTTGGGACTCAAAGATAAAGAAGGTTACACTTCATTCTGGAACGATTGTATTTCGAGCGGACTGCGCGGATGTATTCTTATTGAACTAGGCATACGGGGTCGTGTAGAATTAGAAAAGAGCGGTATGAGAAGAAAGGCACTGCTTGCACGCAAATTAATTGTTAAAAACGATACTCCCGTCGGAGACGTGTTACTAGATGAGGCATTAAAGCATTTAAAAGAAACAGACCCTCCTGAAAGTGTTCAAAGTTGGATAGAATACTTAAGCGGTGAAACATGGAATCCGCTAAAATTGAGATATCAACTGAAAAATGTTAGAGAACGCCTAGCCAAAAACTTGGTTGAGAAAGGTGTTCTAACAACAGAAAAGCAAAACTTTTTATTTTTTGATATGACCACACACCCCTTAACTGATAACACCACTAAGAGCAGATTAATTAAAAAAATTCAGGATGCAGTTCTGAGTAAATGGGTGAATAATCCCAATCACATGGAAAAGCGGATGTTGGCATTAATATTTCTGGCTCATGCAAGTGATGTTCTGGAAAATGCCTTTGCGCCTTTGAATGATGATGACTATGAACTCGCTACAAAAAGAGTACGAAAGCTGCTCGATTTAAATTTTGAAGAAGAAGCAAACAAGCCCAACACATGTGAAGTACTGTGGGCAGTGTTTGCAGCTTTCACAAAATAATGAAGGATATTCCTCTGTTCCTTCTGTAGTATGTACATGCATTGCAATCTTTTCGTAATTATTATTTGGGCGGTACATTAATATTGTCCCAAATTATTTGAATTTTAGGTGAAAAACATAAACATGTATTATTATTATTAATATTGTTTATTTGCAATGTGTTGTTTGTTGAATTTTTTACGCCATAACTTAAAAAAAATAATTTTTAATAATCTTTAGTGCAAAATTCTTCAGTAGTTGCGGTCCTTAGTGTAACATAAATATGGTTGTTTTTAATGTGAAAATTTTATTTCAGCAGCGACACTCAAAATTCAGTTTTTACACTGTGATAAATCACTTTAATTCAGATTTACATATTAATTAACTTAATCGAGTGGTTACAAAACAAGTTTTTGTTAGTATTACTATATCTAAATTACTTTTAACTACGTAAATGTCATATTCCGAAATAAATGTTAAAAATCCAGTTTTTTTTTCATTGATCTGAATCCACCAAAAATTCTAGCTAGCCTACGCTGTCTCCTGCTCTTCACACCTAAAACTTTCATTTTGCCTTTCCTTTCGTTTTATAGATTCTTCATAGTTTTTCTTCCTTCGCGCTAATCTTTCTCGCTTCAAGCATATTACTACTCTATGATCTTCAGTGTTACAGTAGCCCATAAACCTTCTAAAAGGATTCTGCAATATTTTAAGACCTAAGGATTCTGTATTGAAGGGGGTACTTACTTACATCTTTGCGACATTGCTGAAGCAATTTAATCAACTCATTACATTCTGCAGTGTGCAAATGATAAGATAGATCGGTGTGCATATTAGGAAATAAACGTTTATATCTCGAAGTATTTATTTCTCGGCAAAATTTCTCTTAAATTTTACATCACATTTGATCAATTTTCTAGATAATTAACACATAAGCAATCACTAATTCTATGCCCTCTCCTTGGTCTTAACTAACCATTTGCTGAACTAGGTTTGAATCATGATGAACAGCGAACAGCTGTGTTTGGAGTTTTTAAAGTTTAATTAGGTACTCTTTCTCGTTTATTATACATTTAAAAAGTAATCCAAAGACAATGCAATCAATGCTGTGATCTCCTATGGGTTGTGATACTACCGAATTTCAGGTATTTAATATTTTTCCTCAAAGGTTAAGAATGAAATGATAATCCATTGACCCCACTGGTAAGTGACACCAACTGCTTTCACAAAATTTGATTGTATTTATATTACAAAGGCAGATGGATATGGAACACCGTAATAGAAACAAAAAAATACACAATATAATAATCGAATCATGTTTAGTTAGGAAAACATTTCTATTAAATAGTATCTAAACAGGCCTTCCACCTAAATGATGATGAATATCTTTAAATTTCGATGTGAAAATTAACTTCAAAATTATATTGTTTCATGGTAGCAAATCATTGCATCGATATTATCGGGAAGGATTAGAACAATGACTGTAAGTACAGATAAAATGGCTTCAGGTGCTACAACAGAAAGCACTCCTCCAACTCAAGGTTCTGGAACAACTAACCAAGGACATTGCAAAGGACACAGGTAATCCAATTATTTGCAGTTCTTCCTGAAGGAAATAATGAAGTTTTTTTTGCATTCAGGAGGCAAGAGTCGATGTATGCAATGACGGGTTTATATTCAGAAAGTATACCGGAAGAGCAATCTGAATCTGGATCAGCAGGTGAAGTTGGATTAAACAAGTGCAATACAAGTTTCTGTCACGGAGGTGACACAATCATTAAATGCCACAGTAGAAACCCATCGGCTAGTTTTGATCGCGACCGGGCTGCTCATTCAGGTGGCACATTAAGTCGTTCTAGCGAGCCACCTTTAATATTACGAGAAACGAAGGATTGCGGAATTTTAGGGTTTAGACCAACATGCATACAACACTTGGCTGGTATCAAGGTAATTTTGCAAAATACTCGCCCTAAAAGGGAAAAGAAAGCTTTTTTTTTTATAGATTTTCGTTATGTTATTGTCTTTCCTTGTAACCTTGCAACAAGCTCTAAGTTCGGGCTATATTAATTCTGTGATAACGACTATTGAAAAACGGTTTGAAATACCGTCAAGCCTGTCAGGTCTTGTAGCGTCTTCTTATGAAATAGGAAACGTGATAACGGTCATATTTGTAAGTTATCTGGGCAGCCGTAGACATATTCCCATCTGGATCGGGGTGGGGGCTGTTATAATGGGAATTGGATCTTTGATTTTTATGGTACCCCATTTTATTGCTGAGGAGCATGTTGGATCAACTGTGGTTAATGATACCGAAGAAAACGTGTGTCGAATAATAACGGTACATGAAGATATGAGCTTGGGGAGACTATCATCTGGTTTGTCTTCTCCACCTTTGGCACCCAACAACTTGAGGGGCGACAACTGTATCCGTGGTTCTCCCTCCACTACCGGACCGGTGCTGCTGTTTGTACTGGCACAACTACTTTTGGGTTGCGGGGGCTCTCCCCTTTTCACTTTGGGTACCACCTACATCGATGATCATGTGCGACCCGAAAGTGCGTCTATTTATATAGGTTAGTACATTATAACAGGATTGTTTTACTTATGTATTTAATGATAAATCCGTTTCAGGCTGCATGTACAGCATGGCGGCATTCGGTCCTGTCCTCGGATTTCTTCTGGGAGCATACTTATTATCTTTCCATATGGATTCATTGTCTAAGATAATATCGATTAGCGTCGGTGATAGCAGATGGGTGGGGATGTGGTGGGGTGGTTTTTTTCTAGCTGGTTTTCTGTTGATAATAGTTTCCCTTCCCTTCTTCTCCTTCCCCAAAGTTCTTGTTCACGAAAAGGAAAAAATAAAACTGGCAGAGAAGCGCCAGCTGCCCAGTAAGGGGCCAAGCGGCAGTGCGAAAGAGCACAGGGACAAATGTGGAGTAAAAGATGACACCTCATATGGTCAAGACATAAAGGGTGGGGGGTGTCTGGAGTAAGAGAGAAGGAAGGATCGTCTCATGTATCATTTTTTAGATATTCCAAGGTCAATGTGGAGGCTGGCAACAAATCCGGTTTATATAATCACTTGCTTGGGGGCGTGTATGGAGCTCATCATAGTATCAGGATTTGTAGTTTTCTTACCCAAATATCTAGAAACTCAATTCAGTTTGGGTAAAAGTCAGGCCAGTGTTTTTACAGGTATATTAAAAGGGGGAACGCCTTTGTATGTGCTTTTTGACAAAAGTGATTCGTTCTGTTTTCCTTTTAGGATCCATCGCCATCCCGGGCGCGTGCATTGGTATATTTATGGGCGGGCTGGTACTTAAAAAAATGGAACTGAGACCGAAAGGTGCGGTACAGTTTGTACTCATTTCAAATACGATTTGTCTAATATGCTACGGACTGCTGTTCCTGTTGGGCTGTGACAATCTAAAAATGGCGGGAACAACAATTCCATACTTTACCAGTAGTCAACCTTTTCAAGTCAATTTGACGTCGTCCTGCAATTTCGGCTGCGAGTGCACTACGAACGACGTCGAACCTGTCTGTGGCAATAACGGACTGACATATTTTAGTCCTTGCCATGCCGGTTGCACGTCCATATTGAGCTCCAACTACACCAATTGTGCCTGTATACATGGGAACATCACTCTAAGAAATAGTTCTTCCATTAATTTCGCTCCGCCCGAGAGCGACTACTCAGAAGTGACTATAGTGCCTGTAGCTACGGCAGGACCATGCAATTCCCAATGCCATACTATATATCCGTTTTTGATATTGTTATTTTTTATGACATTTATTGTGGCAATCACGCAGATGCCTTTACTGATGATAGTCTTAAGGTAATCGGTTTCGACCGTTAAGGTGGCGGGGAAACGGCAAACGCAGAAGATGATCTTGGTTGCAGGTCCGTCAGCGAGGAAGAAAGATCTTTTGCGCTGGGTATGCAGTTCGTCATATTCAGATTATTCGGCTACATTCCGGCCCCGATTCTTTTCGGTAATTTAATCGATTCCACGTGCCTTTTATGGAAAAGCACCTGCGGAGGATCGAAAGGAGGTGAGAGAGAGGAGGCGACAATCGGGCTGTCTCGTAAAATTCGATTTTCTTTGTTGCAGGACGATGCCTCCTGTATGATATCGAGCAGTTTCGATATCGATATGTCGGATTGTGCGCCGCCATCAAAATTTTGGCATTGGGAATATTTTTAACAGATTGGTGGCTGGTGTGCAAAAGGAAGCAATTGGACGAAGAAAATGTTATGTCTGCGAGTGAAATTGTCGGTTCCATTATAAGTTTGGATAAACGTGAGTATATGGTGGCCTACAAAATTGCCAAGTAGGGCAACGTATGTTTTGTTGCAGTATTCGCCGAGGGGCCCCAGAGTAGGGGCCACTCTCGCAATCCTAGTTCCGCGACGACTCACAATTTTGTCGATCCCGCGTCTCCTAACGCTCCGCAAAGGCTTAAAGAATCTCCGGAAACTAAAAAAGAAGCGTGCACTCAACAGGCGAATGGCGAAGAGGATCAAGAAAAAACGGAAAATCTTTAGCAAAAATTTGTCGATATGATTTTAATGAAACCCCTATTGTAATTTTACTCAAGTTTGTTTACTTGACAGACAGACGACTTGCGTGCACTTTTGTCCTCGTAGAAACTGCCACATCTGCTCTACTTTCTCTCTCTCTCTCTCTCTCTCTCTCTCTCTCTCATTAGTATAGTTTAAATAATTATTGCAATTCGTTATTCGTTAGTTAAAAACTGAATTTACCTCAGGAATGAACGGGATTATGTAAAAGCAGTGATTAGAGCAATGTAAACCCTAATAATACTCATTTGAACAATTTAATAATAGTTTTTCTAGTAGTTTAGCTTGCAAAGTGTTTATTACCTCAAAGAAAAGGATTAAAAGTTACGGCTATTCGAATCGTGTTAAAAGTTACTTTAAATACAATATGATCGATCCCGTTGACACCAGCACGTTAGTTCCCACGCGTAACTTAGAAACGACGGCGACTGTTTTTAATTGTTAACTTACGACCATGTACGGTGTGTCCCATTAACGGCGCCGTTAATGGGATACCCTTTTTATTATTAATTAGACGCACTAGATCGAGCATTTTTAATTGTAACAAATTGATTTTAACAGATGGCGCATATCTATTTTTACAGTTAAAAGACTGTTATTTGCATATCATCGAGGGCCACAAAAAATGCGGCCTAATATACCAATCTCAATCCGGTGGAAACATTATGTTCTCCTTTTTACAAGTCTATGTTAATTGAACATTCCATCTATTTAGTAATTACCCTTAACTGTAGTAATAGCAAGAAAACTGTTGTGTACTTACTAAAGTTGAGCTAGCCGATCACCAATAAAATGCACATTATTTACCGTTTACGGATTTCATTTAATTTAATTTAATACAAATCCCAAATTTACCCAAGCACGGGGTGTCGGAACAAACTGAAATCCGACTCTCTCGGAACAAACCTCGAGCGACGTTTCTAATGACGTCATCGTGAAGGTCGTAATTTATAGAGATTAAATGGGCGGAGCTTAAGCACTGACGTCAGCCACAAATTTGTTCCAAGAACCATCTTGGAGGCCCATCCTGTGTGCCAAGGGAACGGTTGACGTCGCGTTCGTGACCATATTTACCTTTTCGAGGTATTAGTGCTCCGTATTTTGTGTTGTGCCGCAAAGGGCCACATTGTCGTGGAATCAGAATATTGTATTTTCAATGTGTATGGCTATTGTGGTGAGTAGGAGAAATTAATTCGAGTTTTAGAGTTTGACTCAAGTCGCGTATCAGCGATAGCGTGCAAACTCGCATTTTGAGCAATCAAACAACCGAATATTTATATACGAATGTGGTTTGTTTCTAGTATTTCGGTGAACCGGTTCTCGCATACATGGAGTTCCATTTGGACAGTGCAGAATATTGCCAAGCTCAACACAAATAAACATCTTTAAACAACACGTTTAATTGTTTAGCATCATTGTCATAACATACCTAGTTTATCGGAATTAACTCACCGTAAAGCGAAACTAACTGTTCATTTCAGTTTCATTTGTTCCATAGAAAGATGGTCTGTTTTCCAGCTGTTGATCATATTTTAGTTACAATTAATTAGGACGGTAATAGTTGCTTACTGTAATCGACAAGAAGTTTCCTTCGATAGACTGAAGCATAAATCTGCCATTTTAAGGCTGTTAGTTTAAAAATCAAAAGCTAAACTACAAAATTACTCAGCGATATTACACATCTTGGGTTATGACCAGCGCAATTATGAGGCAAAAAGATATCAGACCATCTGCAGCGGAGATTGAATATAAGGGTTTTAAGTTCCTTATCACAGATAGGCCTTCTGATCAAAACATTGTTGCCTATATTCAGGTTTGCTATAATACAAATTTGTCGCTTGCCATAAGTTTCATTACTTTGATTTTTGAACTAGGAACTCCAAAAGCACCAGGTGAAGACGGTCGTCAGGGTATGCGAGCCATCTTATAAAACGGACGAGTTAAAGCAAGTAAACATAGAGGTGTTCGATCTGATGTTTGACGATGGCACTTTTCCCCCCAATGAGGTTGTAGAGAAATGGTTTAAGGTGCTGAAAAAACTGTTTCACGAAGATCCCGATGGATGCGTTGCAGTGCATTGCGTCGCCGGATTGGGCCGCGCCCCGGTGATGGTAGCTCTTGCACTAATCGAACTAGGATTGAAGTACGAAGAGGCTGTCGAATTAATTAGAGAGTAAGGGGATGTTGTTAACTTTAGTTTTTTGTTTCTTCAAAGTTAGTTTGAATTTCAGAAAGAGGAGAGGTGCAATCAATGCGAAGCAGTTGGCGTTTTTGGAGAAATACCGTCCGAAATCACGTTTGAAGGCAAAAAATGGACATAAGAACTCCTGCTGTATTCAGTAATTTCTCGTAAGTTATTATTTATATGTGTTCAGCCTAAAATATACATATAATGACGTTAGTGTATGGCACTTGAAAATAAGTTTCCAAAATATTTTATTTGAAACATTGGGCTACTGAACGAAAGATTGTTAACAAGTCGTCGCGGAATACTCTTGAAAATTTAAGTTTCCATCAACTAACTATAAATTGATTCCATTTCTTCCTCTCTAGATGTTTTACACATGGCTCTTTAAATAATATATCTCTGTATGTTGTAAAATTAAAATCTGGCGTATGTATATACATATATATGTTCTTCATTTCTTATGATTTATTCGAGTCCTTTTTTAAGGCAAATTTGACCCGTGTCTCCTAGTTCTTTTATATTATTATTGTTATTATCATTATTATATATATATACATATATAACAGGAAACTGGATGACCGTAGTAAAGGGAGCAATAAAAGATGTTCGAGCTTAAAGTAAATCGGAAATTTATTGTTCAATCAAGCAATCATATATGTATATATGTATATATATATATATATATATATATATATATATATATATATATATATATATATATATATATATATATATATATATATATATATATATATATATATATATATATATATATATATATATATATATATATATATATATATATATATAAATATATATATATATATATATATATATATATATATATAAATATATATATATATATATATATATATATATATATATATATATAAATATATATATATATATATAAATATATATATATATATATATATATATATATATATATATATATATATATATATATATATATATTGTACATTCATGTCTATTGTTTGTTTAATATATTATCGAGGGTCTGTAGTCTCGGTAATTTTTGTAATAATGCCAGTCACCATTATTATTTTAGAGGGATATATCCACCAGCCCGAAAAATTGTTGTATGGCTGCATCATATTTGGAATTATTTACGCGTAGGTTTCTGAAAAAGTATCTTCTTTATATAATCAGTGCTAGTTACCTTTAAATGATTGGTTCTTAGTGTTTAAAAATCTGTCTGTTGGTATATTAAAGGCCGTTTGTTTGATATGATAAGTCGACGTTACTGTAGTTTTGACGTTAAATTTGTTGTTTTAAGCTGTCTGTTTTCATATTATGCTCTCATTTGTGACTCTGGTTTTGAATGAATTGTATTTTTTTTAATGTAATATAGGCTATGTCTAATTATCACTTGTTCTTGTTTTACCCCAAAATCTCGATAACAAATTTTTTTTATCGTCCCCAATTCATTTGAAAATACTGATTTATTGCGATTGCTGCCCAAACTAAGCTCTATTATTTATCGTAATTTTATTTATCGAATTGTTTATTTGTTCGTACATACGAATAATAATTAATAATAAATAAATGCCTAACGATCGAATGAAATGCACCGATAAACCGCTAGTTTGAAGAAAAATATATAAATATAAAAAATATCCATAATCTCAAGAGTTTTTGAGACGCTCTATAAATGCGCCGACTAGGACGCTACTAAAATTAACTAGAGAGTCGTTCGAGTTCGTGATCGGCACGCGAGTCGAAATCACGTCGGGTGGCGCTCGTTTAGGTTGTGTGGGTCGGCGAAATGTAAACCACGATCTGAGCATCTGTTTATTCGTTTGAGATGCGTGAAACGTACGTGAAATACGCGCTCTTAACTGCATTGGTCGCCTTGGTAACGCACGTTCGGACGACTGTACGAGCCGATTCTTTTGCCCGGTTTTACGAAAAGGGCGTAGAAGCCTACTTGGAAGAGAGATATGCACAATGCGTCGAATATCTCGAAAACGCCGTAGAAGCTTTTCGAATACAGAAGAAAAGAATTCAAAATTGCAGACTGAATTGCAAACACGAATCCGACGAATCCATACCTCTCTTTCCTATCGATATAGAAGATCTACGGTTTTTTGAGAAAACCGTACGAAACACGCTGTGTATTTTACGATGCCAAAAGAGGAATATGGGCGGCATCGTATATCATGTCGACTCGGAAATAGGGAATATTTTCGACAAACGGAAACCGTACGAATATCTACATCTGTGTTATTATAAGGTAGTGTTCATATTTTCTCGCGGCAGAATTGTAGACGACTGTTTCCTAGATAAACGATAAACAGAAGGCGGCTGGTAGTGCGTTCACTTTTCTAGTAGCAAATCCGGAACACAGTCTCATGAAACGGAATTTTCAACATTATTCGGAAATGCCGGAAGTTGACCCGAGCGAAATCATTAATTACGAAGCTGAGGTATTGAAAATTGTTATTTTTTGTCGTGCTTATACGCAGAAAATTCACAGGATTACGTTTACATGTACGTTCACGGAGCCCAAGCCTACGAAAATAAAGACTGGGACGGCACCGTATCCAATATGGAAGAGAGTTTAATAGCTTACTTGCAGGCCGAAGATGAATGCAGAGCACAATGCGAAGGACCGTTCGACCCCGGCTGGTATCCCGATTTCGTCATGTCCATTTCAAGTAAAGTCTAACCAAGTTAACTAATCAAATCGAAAATTAAACCCCGTTAATGTCTCCCTAGATCATTTCACGTTTGTTTTGAAATGTAAGAGAAATTGCAGTAAAATATTAGGAAATGTCAACGGTCAAGTGTACGACGACTTATTCGCGAGTCACTACAATTATCTGCAATACGCTTATTTCAAAAGTGAGTTGACTCAGGCGTGTCGTTTCAAACGATGATCTTCGAAATTTTTCAGAGGGAAATTTAATGGCGGCATGTCATGCCGTCGCAAGTTTCCTTCTACTTTTCCCAGCGGACGAGAGCATGCTAAGCAACATGAAATATTATCGAAGCTTGCCGAAAACGCAGGATAATTACTTCACTCCCAGAGAGGTTTTTGCCAAATCCGATCAAGCCCCATATTCGTGCAATTTACCGACCCATAGTGACTTGGGAAAATTGCACGGACGGGGCGTTTATTTACATATCCGGTAAATGTTTTACGTTATAGGAAGTTATACGTTATGCAGACAGAGATAAGTACGAAAGGCAAATAATCGAGTTCGTTCAAGCCGAATTCGTGTCTATTGCCGCAGTAGTCGCCAATTCTGATCAGGTAACCGATTGCCCCTTGGTGAAAGTGTATTTTTGTTTTACCTCTCTTACCTTGATTCCTTTTTATCGTTTTTATTGTAAATACGTCACGCTTATTATTAACTGCCGTAACAATTTAACTTGCAGGACAATTATTCCAAAGAAAACGAAAACAGCAACTGACGCTTCCAGCTTTATTGCCGTCGGGAACCGATGTGTTATAAATTCTTTCTATACTTAGTTAACACATTAATTTTTATCTCTTGTACAATATTTTATATTTACAGTTTGAATATTCACAATAAAATCTCTTTGTATTTTGGAGTTTGTTTCTTATTAATAACACTAACTAACCAGAACTAATATTTCAGACCAACGTTGGCCTGAGCTCAGTTAATAAAATTAATTTTAATAATTTGGCGGCGTTGGAACCGTACGGAGGGTAAAAAGCTTCTATCGATAACTTAACCAGAATTATACTTGAACCAGAAATATATTGCTTTTACAACCGAGCCCGTGATTAACTTTGCCTACCGTTTATTACTCTAAAACCGCAGCTCCTCATAGAACATCCCGGCGAACAGACTCTTGCCTGTAACCATTCCAGAACCGTCTTAGGAATAAGTATGTTTTCAGTCTTTTTTGCCGCTCAATTATTGAAACATACTTACATAAAAAAAATTAGTTCAAAGTAACAATTTATTACGTCCCATTTCATTACATTTCTCGATTAATTAATTAACTATTAATATACAAAATATTAAATATAATAATAATAAAGTATCAGTCACTTAAAAAACGCCACTATCGCTGTTGTCGTCACCTAGTTCAATGATCAACTCCGCCACTTATCGTTCTCGTTAAATATTTTCTTCTTTTATTACTCGTTTTTCGCAGTTTTTTCCCAGAGAGGTATTTGGCAAATCCGATCAAGCCATATATTCGTGCAATTTACGGAACCGTAGTGATTTGGGCAAATTGCACGGACTGTTTTACATAATAGACCAGCCTTGTACTGGTATTTTAGCTACCTCTTGCCGAATCACGTTTATGGTACTATCACTAAATTTTGACCAACCAACCTATCGGGTTAAATATACAATGATACGGGGTAATTCCAAGATTACATATCCGCTTTGTTGTGCTAGTCTTTATTAAAATGTTTTATTTTTAATCATTCCAGAAGTTGTTTTTTCGTGCAGCTCTCTTCAAAATATAAATCATGCTTAATCAAATTTAAAACGGTCCATTTAGGTTTTAAATAAAAATTTCAACTTTCTACAAATAATTCGTTAAGGACCATCTCAGGCAAGACTTCCTTAATGCAGAATAAACGTCTGCGATTAAGTTACCGCAAAATACTTAAAACGTCAAAGCAATAAATGCACTATATTTTTGGTCGTATTATAACATCAAATTAATTCCTTCGACAGGCTCGAGATCGTAAATCTCATGAACTGACGAACAACGGTTACCTAAGAGCTTCTTGGGACGATGTGGCCTCTAGTAAAGAGTGTCAGTTACTGATAAACATTGCAGATACGTTCGCCAGCGTCAACGAAGGTTACACCGGTATTAACACAACATTTTTGTCACCCCACACGGAACACGAAAAATTCGCGGGAGTTTCTTTGGCTAGAATTCAATTTTTGGTATATATAGGCATTTTAAAGGCGGAATATTTGAATTCCCTGTTAGATTTAACGGATCGAATTCGAGAGATCGTAGCGCTACAATTTAACATAGCAAAGACGCTGTATTTCTCTTATACCCATTTAGTATGTAGATCAGCGCTTCCAGGTAAACGTTTAATGACAAAATTTTAAAAATCGGAGTAAATGCCGCGGTTTTAGCATCGCCAGTCAATAGAGACGATTGGAGCCACCAAATACACGCCGACAATTGTAATTTAATTCGCGACGGCAAGTGCGAGAAGAAGGAACCCGCATTCTATTGGAGAGACTATAGCGCGATTTTGTATTTAAATGACGATTTTCAGGGCGGCGAATTTGTATTCGCCGAAGACGCGAACGGGATCAACGTGCAGGTATCTAATGTTCGTAAGGTCGAAAAAGATTACTATACGAGTAATACATTTTTTTTAGGCTACGATAAATCCAAAATGTGGGAGAATGGTTGCCTTTTCTTCGGGAATAGAAAATTTACACGGCGTGCGGCCAGTGAGTAAGGGTAAACGATGCGCTTTGGCTATATGGTTTACTTTCGACCCTCGACAACGCGAATCGGACAGAGACATCGCGTCCTACATAATAAATAACCACATTAGACTTGACGATTTTATTGAAAAAAACTTAAACAACTAATAAATAAAAAATATTTCTGCGCTAACCTGTCTTTTACTCGTCGTGGGCAAACATATTTGTGAAAAACTGAAAGCTCGCGGTCGCCGTAAGATATAATTAAATGGTCCCGTGGGATACGTGTCGGGTCGCTGTCGTAGTACGTACGAGAGAAAGCATCGCATCAGACTATATCGGCATAGAGCATCGCTATACGTCGCGATGCCAGAGTCCATCGAAACCTGGACCCGACGATAATCCTGTGTCAGTGCGGGACTTTTATGTGATCGGTGTAACAAGAAGAAAACCATGAAGGTTTCATTAAATTCCTCATGGTTTTTGCCACTTCTTGGATTTGTTCTCATCGGTGTTGCCGCGCAGGGTACGTTGCAAGACACTTTTTCCGATCATCGATAACGGAATGTTCGACCGCTAGATTAGCGGCCGCTGCCGTGACCATCGCCGTAACGACTCCCGATGGGCGATGGTAAAAAAAATTACCCGAGCGATCGCGCTTAGAAATTTCGATTTAACAGAAAAGTGTCAGTTATGTAATAAGCGGTCGCCATCGTTTTTCGCAATGCTATAAAGATGATATTATTTTATTTTTGGATCGGCAGGTTTCTAATAATAAAATTTACTGCAAATAAAACAATTTTCACTAACTATATATAACCCCGTTCAATAGTTGAGGTCGTAAAAAAAATTATCTACGCACACGGTTTTTATTTTATTTATTTCGCTCCAGACGGCATTGTTATTATCGCTTGTCTTATTATTCTTTTTTACCTCACCTCCCGGTCCTATCGAAATATTCTCGATTTAAGATCGGCGAATTTAAATAGATTTTGCTGAGAGGTAGATTAAGTTACGGATTAATTTTCGCGTGTCTTCAAATTCTTTTTTCTTACAATTATCAAGCGTTTATAATTAGTATGCCGGCCAATTCGGATACGTGTTAAAAATAGAAATAATTCAAGAGCCTTAGAAATTAAAAAAAAATTACGTGGCCGGTTACTTTTAGAATCCTGTTCATTTGCTCCTCGGGTCCGATAAAAATTCATCTTTCCAATTGCTACGTCAACACTTTCACGTAATATTAATATATCAGATTAGTTTCTTCCGCGATTTCTCTATTCTGTAGTAAGTGATAATGACGAATTCTTGGACATTAGTCAAGAAATGCATCGTGCCGGTTTTTCCGAATTATGTTTAGATACCTACCGCGAAAAATGTAAATTTCCATTTTTTTTAATAAACTGCTTTATACAAATTTAGGGTCAATTTCAGAAAGCGGCGAGTGCCCGACAACTGACCAAGTTTCTTGTACCGCTGGAACCAAATGCAACTCCGATCTAGATTGTCAAGACAAGGAATTGTGTTGCGCCAATCCGTGCTATACGAAGCGTTGCGTACAAAATCCGAGAGGTAGGTTTTTGCGAACATTGCCACCTTCTATCTATATCCATATCTATCCAAACGACGGTGCATGTTCAGACAATATTCTACCGACATTCTACAAATCAGGACAGTATTTAGCGTCATATCGTAATATCCTACGAAAGTTGCTTTCCCAAAATTCTTAATATTCCAATAAATATTATTTTCAAAAGATACAGGAATGCACTTGGTAAAATAACATACTTTTCATTCAATAGTAAATTGCAGTATTTTCACTCTTACAATTTAAAACGATTCTCTGACTATATAAAACGCTAAGACCGTAAAGACTGACGGACGGATTTTCTTGGACCGTTCGGCAATGCTACTTCTGCTGTTACATTGGCTTTTTTAGAATGCCCCCAAAACGAAACAAATAACAATAATAATAATAATAATAATAATAATAATGTTTTCAGGTGGTGACGACGTTGATGGACCGTCCGAATCCGAGTGCAGGCCTTACATCGAGAAAGCTCTTAAAGAGCTCGAGACTGGTGAGGCACGCAAGGAACCTTCAGACGAAAACGAAAGCGCTGAAGAGCTTCCTACTGTTGAAATAAGCGATGACGACGAAGGAGGAAGCAGCAAGGGAAACGTAGAAGACATCGAAACCGAAGCGCCGCCAGAAAACGAATTCAAGGTTTACAAATGTGTTTTATCGGCTTTTTCATTTTTTTTTTCATTTGCACAGGACGTGGAAGGTGAGAGCGAAGCGATAAAGACTTCAGAAGAGACCAAGAGTCAGGAAAACCTGCTCGATAGTGGTGGCGAAGATGAAACGCCGGAAGGCGCGGAGCCTATTGGAGATGAAATACAAGGTGTTAAAGAGAGCAGCGAAGAAAATATCGAAGACGACAACGTAAAACTAAACGTGGAAACTGATGACGAAATTGACAATAACGAACGAGTATTAGATAGCGTTGCGAAAGAATTTCAAAAAAGTGACGACCTTAGCAAGGAAATAACCGAGCCCAGCACTAATGATGATTCTTCGGCAAAATCGGAAGAAACAACTAGTGATGAAGATGAAAGGCACAAACGAGAAACTACACAGAACGAACAGTTATTGGAAATTAACGATAACGTAGATGGAGAGGAAGCAAAAAGTGACGAGGTCCCAGTAGAAGCTGTTGATTCGTTAGAAAGCAATTACGACGCCCCTGCGCCACAGGAAGAGTCCAAAGAATCAATAGAAAATCAACAAGGTACGATAATTTTGGTAATCCTGCATTTTACCTATATAGAAAATGGGACGATAGATAATTGAATTGTCAGCAGATCTAACGTTAGTTCCAAATTATTTGAAAAAAGTTTTGTGAACAAAACTCACCGCGAAACTTTATGAACAAACCCATTTTAAGTTCCATTGTGGAAAAGTTTCGCACTATTCTGCTACAAAATTTCCCCAACCCCTATTAAAGTAAAGTGCAGGATTAAGATGATTTTAAATTTGTTTCCCCAATAAACAAAAATATCTAATTTTTAGGCAACGGTTGTCCAACTGTAGACCGAGTGTCTTGTACAGATGGAGAACTATGTACCAAACACAAGGCGTGTGGAGAAAATCGAATATGTTGCCCTAATAAATGTTACAGAAAACGCTGCGTGACAGGCAAGGTAGATGAACGTGAGTTGCAAGCGGAACAATCGGAAGGAATCGAAAGTAGTAAACAACAGATCGTCATCAACGACAGTGAAGAAATACCAGGTGAAAATCAAGTTTGTTAGTCTCCTTCTGTAATTACTTTTGTCTGGGTTTGGCTGCAGGTACTGGCTGTCCTTCCAGTGATCAGGTTTCCTGTGTCAAGGGCGATCTATGCAGTAAACACAAACATTGTGGCGATGGCGAAATTTGCTGTCCAAACAAATGTTACAGAAAACGCTGCGTTGCGGGACTCGTAACTTCAGAGGAATTGGCACAGGAAGAATCTGAGGAAGATTCGAAAGAAATGGAACAAGCAAAATCAAGTAAAGAAGAGAACCTACAAGTTAAAGATGATGAGGGTAGGTTCGTAAAGAGTACATTTTAAATTAAACAAAACCTGGTTTTGGCTTTGCAGGACTCGGCTGTCCGTCGGTAGATAAAACTTCTTGTAAAGAAGGCGACTTGTGCAGCAAACACAAACATTGTCGACGAGGTGAAATATGTTGTCCGAATAAGTGCTACAGGATGCGTTGCGTTACCGGTACAGTTTCTTCTGCAGAATTAGAAGAAGAAGAATTGTCAGAAGAGAAGTCTATTGAAGAATTGACAAAAGACAAAATTGTTTCCGGGAAACGGGAAGGTTATAATGAAAAGTACTCCTTGCACGTGTTTCCTCACTTACTACCATTCATTGGTTGCAGTGGTGGGTTGTCCTCTACGAGAAAACATTCCCTGTAAGGGTGGACAGGGTTGTTTGAAGAACAAGGAATGCGATTCTGGCGAAATCTGCTGCGCGAACAAATGTTATCGAAAGATGTGTGTGCCCGGAACACCCGCTGAAGATGATAGTGAGGAGGATGATGATCCTGGACAAGTAAACGAGGAAGAGCACGAAAGTACAGGAGGAGTTAACAAAGAGAATGCCGAGAAGCTGGAGGGTAAGCGGATTGATTTTGTACTCCTAACTGACCTATCTTTATTCAAACGTGCACTAGATGAAGACTTGCCCCGTTGTCCATCCAAGGATGAAGTTCCTTGTAGAATTGGCCAACGGTGCGACGACGATAACGACTGCACCCCTAATGAGTTCTGCTGTCCCAACAAATGTTACAACAAACGATGCGTCGTGAAACCACTCGCAGGTTCATTTATTTCTTTACTTGAGTACAGTTTTATCGTAAATAGTGTCATCTAGGTATGGGAGTCCCTGAGAGCAAACTTAAACTGCCGAAACAAGTAGAAAAACCTGTGACGAAATTCAAGGTCGAAATTAAAAGAGAAGTAAAAATAAAGGTTTTGCCCTCCGAACCGAAAAAGGAAACCAGAAAACTCGAAGTGAAGCAGCCCGGCAAACCCAGCAAAGTGGTGGTTATCGAGGAAATGGATGAAGACGAAGACGCCAGTCTAGAAAAAGGTAAATATTTGATCTGGAGGGAGGTTAATTTCTTCCTGGGCATTATCGACAGGAGGGGAAGTCCCGGCGGTGGAAGAACTTTCTCTCGATACGGACATTCCGACGGAATTGAGGCCCAGAGATCACGTGGAACATTTACTAAAATTAGACAAAGACTCTTCAGATGTGGAGCAGATTCAGAACAGGGTGTACGAGGAGACGTTGAAAGAGTTAAAGCGATTGTACGAATCGGCAATTAAACCTCTAGAGACGTTGTACAAGTACAGGGATTTGAGCAACAGACATTTCGGCGATGCCGAGATATTCTCCAAGCCGTTGGTGCTGTTCATGGGGCCCTGGAGCGGAGGCAAATCGTCCATTATCAATTACTTGGTGAATAACGAATACAACGAAACTTCCCTAAGAACGGGTGCGTATATGGAGTTGCATACTTTCAGGAGAGTTTCGGTTCTCTGACATTTCGGTTGCAGGCGCCGAGCCATCACCGGCATATTTCAATATTCTCATGTATGGCGAAGAGGCGGAGATCATTGACGGGACCGAACTGGCCGCCGATTTCACCTTTTCCGGATTGCAGAAATTCGGTCAAGGCCTGGAGGAACGATTGAAAGGTATCAAGCTGCCGTCAAAAATTTTGCGAAAAGTCAACGTTGTGGAAATCCCGGGAATTCTGGAAGTTCGGAAACAAGTGTCCAGACTGTTTCCGTTCAACGATGCGTGTCAGTGGTTCATCGACAGGGCCGACATCATATTTTTGGTATACGATCCTTCGAAACTGGACGTCGGCCCCGAAACAGAAGCCATCCTGGATCAGCTGAAGGGAAGAGAGCACCAGGTGGCGTGATACCCTTGCCCTTTGATTCCCCATAACGCCGTTCCGATTGTAGACTAGAATCATTTTGAACAAAGCGGATCAAGTGAAGCCGGAAGAATTGATGAGGGTGCAGAGCGCCCTTATTTGGAATATATCGCCCTTAATGTCATCCCCTCAGCCTCCGATTATGTACACCGCTTCCCTTTGGTCTAGACCGTTCGAGCCGTGGGCCCCCGTTCGGCTTCTCCAGGCCCAGGAAAGGGCATTTTTGAGAGATTTGAGGGGGGCGGTCGACAAACGAGTCGAAAACAAAATTGCCAGCGCCCGAAGATTTGCAGTAAGTCGTGGTCATTAAAGCACTAACTGAAAAGGTGTTTGAATGGAATTCATGACCGTAGGTGCGGGTTAGAAATCACGCCAAAATGGTCGACTGTTATTTGACCACTTACTATAACCACAAATCGGTATTCGGCAATCGGAAACAAGTGGCCAACGAGATCATCGAACATCCTCAAGACTACCACATCTACGAGGGTCTGTCCACGTTGACCAACATCTCACGATACGACTTGCCCGACCCCGAAGTCTATAAAGATTTCTTCAAACTGAATCCGTTGTACGAGTTTCAACAATTATCCGCCACTTGTACATATTTTAGAGGTAAGAGATGGAGTGTGGTTTAGTTGTCGTTAACATTTTCACTCCTTTTAGGATGCCCCATTAATAGGCTAGACATTGCTATAGCCTACGATCTACCAGAACTCGTGGGCACCTACAAAAAGAATTTAGAGGAAGCCTTGGCTTCGCCGTCCGATGTGAAGAAAAAGGCATCAAGGAAAGCGGCTCCGGGAAGTTGAAAAATCCTTTCGGGCTTCGACCTCGTGCCTTATCTGTGAAAAACTGTCGGAAATTCTTCGTTAGAGAACCAAAAAAAGTGCATTATATAACCATGCTTAACTAGTTCTGCCGTATTTTGTGTGTGCTCGCATTTATAGGTTTTTAGAATTCGGAGTGTTCACGTCGTGGGAAAATGTGGCGATTTTCGTGTGGGAAAAAGGTACTATCTGATTTCGAAATGGCAGGGGAATTTCGATACTCGAATCGGTTTAACTCGATCGGCGACGACGACGCGACGTCCGTTTTCGACCAATCGCAATCGAGTATCGAATCACGTGAACCCGCCTTGGGTTTGTCTTCACAGTAATTTATTCCTTATGTTATTCAAGTATGTACGTGTTAAGCTCTCTTATTTCGAACATAAGTATATATATATATATATATATATATATATATATATATATATATATATATATATATATATATATGTATATATTAAGGGATAGGTTAAGCAAAATATATGTATATATATATTGCAAATAAAATAAAAGAATTTCAACTTAGGTAATCCAATTTTACTCGAAACAATTTGCAAGTCAAATAGTCACGAGGGTCCATAACAATATATTGTTTAAACATTTTGTATTAAATACTTTTCTCTAACCTTTTCAGCGTTTAATTTTTTCTCTTTGCATTAACCAAAATAACAAAGCGTTTAAAAACAATAATCTAGATTCCAATTATGCTACACCCATAAACACAGAAAAACACTTTTTTGACGACACTTTTGATATTTTACATACAGCCACAAAAAGAAAATTAAATTTATTGGAAGCCAAGGAGATTAACAAAATGAGACATTCTGCTTAACTATCAATTAAATTTAAATACCTCTCCATTATTAAACTTAAATTCTCATAACAACATTAATTAAGGTTTTATTGTCATTTTTCGGTATATATAGTAGCAGGTAGTTTGTAAATATTACATTTGATACAGACACGGTGTTGGCGAAACAATTGTCACGTGAATATATATAATTTCATGAATATCTGAACTTTTAGTTCTTATTTATTTTATTTTACGGAATAAGAAGCTATTTCGTTTGGGATTTTTGTCGTTCTTGGTGGGAGTCTGTGATGTTTATATACATCCAAATAGGCAAGAGATTCAGAATTTTAGCCAAGAATAATTACCATTTAACTTGCCCACTCTAAAAACTTACAAATTTTTAAGTAAATTAAAATTACATTGAACTGAAATTCTAGAAAATTCACAGAAATTATACTTAGAACGTCGAACAAGCAACCGCAAGCTGAGAAAAAATCGCACGATTTTACAAAAGTTTCTCAAACTTACAATGCTTTTGACCCATTCACGTTTCATGTCGACTCTTTGCACTCTAAGAATTTGATGATAAAAATCGAGAGATTCAAATGACCTTCTTGACCTAGCGAAAAGATCATATGAAATATGTCACTGAAAATTTACTCACTTTTTTTTACCCATACCCGAGCGTCCAAGGAATTCTTCAATCTGCTTAAGACTACTTCAAAGATTGATCAACTGCAACGCGCACATTTAAAGATATCATCATATGGTTTTTCAATATTTGCAATGCGGCATACCATACTTTCAAGCTCCTAAAACATTGCGTGGACAATCAATTTCATTGCAAAATTACGTCATTTGAAGGTCTTTAATAACTCGTCTATATCAACAGCTAACAATGCCTTGTAAGTCTGCGCACATTATATGGTTGTCAAAGGCTCAACCAGACCAACAAAAAAAACTGAGGGAGGTACCAGAGCTAGTGCGGAATTTTAGAGCTCAGTTATATTAAATGATATTTATTACATCGCCATAACAGACTCCCAAATTCATGAAAATAGTTAATTTGAGGCACTGAAAATTTTCACTATCTTAGCTTTTTCCAAAGGTGGGCAATTTAGCTAAGAGCATTCGCCCATTACGGATTTCGGTCATGATTTTTGTTAAAATTCAAGCGCATCCAAACTGGATAATCATACTTCATTCCATGCCAGTAAAATCATTGGATCCATGTTACCTAGCTTAGCCTAAACTTTACGCAAAAGAAGTATGTTCACAAAAGTAAAGCACGTGCAATAATTGTTGAAGAAAATTATTTTTCTTCAACAATTTTCATTTAATGACTGACCATCATAGTTAACCACTTTTCAAAATTGTGCTATCCAGTTAATTGTTTTTGAATACGAACTCAACTATAGTTCGTATTGAAGGGAATGCAACTTTACTTGATAATCGACATGAGGAAGTTTACCGGGCAGACCGAGGGGAAATCAATAGTCACTAAACATGATGTGCGACAAATCTATTCTCCTAACACATGCCCAACACTCAGATGTACATCAACAAAATCTAACGACACCTTGAAAAGTTGCTGTCAAAATTCACGAAACTACTAAAATTAGTTTGAACCCAACCTTGCACAGTATAGAAGAACAGAGGAAGAACGACGATTTAAATAAAAATAAAGGATATATGCTCGGATATATCGGCACTATAAATACAAAATTATTACCGGAATCAAACAATGCAGATTGAAATTAATAATACTGACATAAATCGATCATCGCCACTCGCCTCGTCGGTCTGAGAAGTCAAGCTGTTAGGCAAAACGAGCGAATTTCTCAATTGACGACTGCTAGGTGGCGCGTACCGTGCAGGGTTTAGCGAAAAAACAAGAATAAAAATATAACAATGAGTCGTCGCACACTGAGATGGTTGGTGTGAGATTGTAACAAAAACTCCTCGCCAACGTATTTAATATATCAAAACAAAGTCCGTTGACAAGGTCCTTCCACTCGCACTCGCACGCCTACTACGTTCGTTATCTATCTTTCTGCCTTCGAAGTGCTCATCTAGTGCTACGGACAGGATTATTATCGCAACAACGTAACACCAATAGGATAAGTCACCTTAAGTACATTGTATCAAGTAAAGTCTCAACAAAACTGTGAAAAAAGGGCGAACACGAAAGCTTTCCTTTTAACGTTCGCAATGTATTTTTCGGTCTTTAATCGCAGCAACGGGACACCAACAGGGTGAGACACCTTAAGTACAGTGAGGGTGCTAACGACGGTGACAAAAATCAAGTAAGGTCTCAAGAAAAATTAAAAAAAAGGGCGAACGCAAAAGTTTTCCTTTTACGTTCGCCATACATTTTTCTGTCTTCGAAATGCGAATCCTCTAGTACTAAGGGCAGGATTATTATCGGAACAAAGGGACAGCAATGGGATGAGTACTAGTAAGTAAGGTCTCAAAAAAACTGTTTTAAAAAAAAAGGGCGAACGCAAAAGTTTTCCTTTTACGTTCGCCATGTACCTTTGTGTCTTTTTTCCCTGCAACAGGGGTCTCGTCACACTGACAAGAATCCACTAGGAATGGTGCGACCACCGGCGCACATTATTTTAAGCCTTTTTGGCTTAGTTCGGGAGTGCGGTTTTTCTCGTATTATATAGGACTTTTTTACTGAAGAGCACCCCCATTCGCTTTCGACGTAAAATTTTTCTGACCAGGGCCGGTCTATCCAAACGAAGTTTGGTGTTCGGACGACCTGCGCCTTTTATTTTCAACTTGCATTTCTAAGGAAGAGCAGAGTTGTCTTCGAAGTCAAACTTTTAATTTTTAGGGCCGGTCTGTCCGAAAGAACTTTTATTTGAAGACGACCCGCGCCTAACTTTTAACGTATATGTATATACGTTCTCGGGCGAAAATCCTTCACACCTTGTCGACGGTAAGCGCAAAACTAGGTCTCGCGCTTTTAGCTCGCCCAGGTACCCGAAATTTCTTCGCTTCCACCGACTTCGTACGTATAAACGTCCGCGTCTGGTGCGAAAAATTATCGACTCAGCGAGTACAAAGTACAAGTTATTTATTTTAGTTATTTTTTTAACACTACAACGATCCTAATGGAAGTTCACCTACGGGAGGGAACCTCGTGACATTTACTTCTTCTAAATGATTAAGTACGGTCAACTTTCCGAACACATCGACGACGTCGGAACGTATCGGCGGTTCGGTTCGAAGACCTCGTTAAATCATTCAATCGGTGGTAACGACGGGCGGTGTGTACAAAGGGCAGGGACGTAATCAACGCGAGCTTATGACTCGCGCTTACTGGGAATTCCTCTTTTTTGGGGAACAATTAGGAACCCCAATCCCTAGCACGAAGGATTTTCCGCGGGTTATCCGGGCCTCTCACCCAGAGACTGCGCGCTGATTCCTTCAGAGTAGCGCGCGTGCGGCCCAGAACATCCAAAGGCATCACAGATCTGTTATTGCTCAATCTCGTGCAGCCAAAGGCCGCTTTGTCGCTCTAAGAAATGTTGGTCCGCAGACGGTACAAATTAGCAGGCTAGAGTCTCGTTCGTTATAGAAATTAATCGCTCGATTAACTAAAAACGGCCATGCACCACCACCCACCGAATCAAGAATGAGCTCTAATCTGTCCATTCATTCGGAGTCCGGGAAAGGCGGGGTTTTCCCCTTTCGAATCAAATTTGCTGCAGGCTCCACTCCTGGTGTTGCCCCTCCATCGATTCCTTTAAGTTTCAGCTTCGCTCCCATACTTCTCGCGGAACCCAAAACCTTTGGTTTCCCGGAAGCGTCCCGCCGAGTCAACATCGGCGGATCGCTGGCTGGCATATTTACAGTTAGAACTTGGGCGGTATCTCATCGCCTTCGAGCCTCTAACTTTTGTTCTTGATCAACGAAAACGTTTTTGGCAAATGCTTTCGCTTCCGTCCGTCTTGCGACGATCCAAGAATTTCACCTCTAACGTCGCAATACGAATGCCCCCATCCGCTCCTATTAATCATTACCATGCGAAAACCAACGAAACGGACACGAGGTCTTGTTCCATAATTCCATGCATACTGTATTCAGACAAAATTTTAGCCTGCTTTAAGCATTATAATTTGTTCAAAGTAAACGACCGGCCCACCTCGATACTCCGTGAAGAGCACCACGGCAGGATTGAGTCGGACCGAGTCAAGTCCACCGGCAGGAAGTCTCGCGACGCGCCAGTTGAAACCGCGAATGGTGAACCGGCGGCGCGAGACACAATTCGACTACGAACTTTTTAAACGCAACAACTTTAATATACGCTATTGGACTTGCCCTCCAATTGATCCTCGTTAAAGGGATTAGAGTGTACTCATTCCGATTACGGGGCCTCGAGCGAGTTCCGTATCGTTATTTTTCGTCACTACCTTCCCCGTGCCGGGAGTGGGTAATTTGCATACCTGCTGCCCTCCTTGGATATGGTAGCCGTTTATCAGGCTGCCTCTCTGGAATCGAACCCTGATTCCCTGTTAGCAGTTACGACCATGGTAAGCTCGGAACATACCATCGACAGTTGATAAGGCAGATATTTG